TGGTGTAGTGGATTCAGAGATTCAGAGATTCAGAGATTCACACTAATTGTAGGCAGAGTGACACGGATGTGGGATGACGAGAGGGTGGATGGTATGTGTGATGTGTGTTTTGTGTGTGGAATTGTGACGTTGTGTGAAAGCACTGTGTTGTTTTTGTCACGGAGTTGTGTAGATGGTGTTGCAGTGGTCGATGCATTGGTAGTTGTTGTATTGTATGTTGTTGTTTGTGTAGGCGTAGATATTGGTGTGATGATGTTGTTGGAGACGGTGGCATAAGTGTCGGTATTTGGTGTTGCATTGATAGTTATGTTGGTGGTGTGACCTGAGACAGAGGATGTGTCTGGCATATTGCGAGACAATGTTGAGATGATGTTGATTTGTGACGAGTGTACTAATTGTGATTGTTTGTGTGTTTGTGTGTGTTCTCTCTGCTTCTGTACAGACACATCGACAGGCGTTAGGAGTGAGACCAGCAGCGTCGGGCACACAGACACAAGTGCGGCGTCAGAACTCAGTCAACCGAACACCACTAGCACTAGTACGAGCACAAGCAAGAGCACGAGCATGGGCACGAGCACGAGCACTAGCACTGGCACTAGCACTAGCACTAGCACTAGCACCTCCGCCACCACAAGCACAGCATTGACGCCGTCGACGACGATGACCACGGTGGCAACATTGGCTACGATGCGGATGACCGACCCGTCATCAACTACTACTGCAGCTACTTTCGGTAGGTCCGAATTGTTTTGCAATACACCAATCTCCCTACACACCTGTTCTCACACCTCATTCAACACGTGTTCACATGACATGTGTGTTCATGTTGAGTGCATTGACTGACTGTCTCACTGATTGACACATCGACCGACTGACTGTTTGATCAACGTGTTGATTGATCGATGGATTGATTGGTAGACGTATTGATTGAGTGATTGACTGATTGATTGATGAGATGATTGAGTGACTGGTTGGTTAATGCAGAGATCGACTGACTGAATGACAGTGGTTGCGTTGACGAGTGTTCGCAATGCAAATGTGTCGATGGTGAATGTGATGGTGAGTGTCGACAGCGTGTTAATGTTGGTGTGTAGCTGAATGCATGATCACGATCGGTGGTGTAGTGGATTCAGAGATTCAGAGATTCAGAGATTCACACTAATTGTAGGCAGAGTGACACGGATGTGGGATGACGAGAGGGTGGATGGTATGTGTGATGTGTGTTTTGTGTGTGGAATTGTGACGTTGTGTGAAAGCACTGTGTTGTTTTTGTCACGGAGTTGTGTAGATGGTGTTGCAGTGGTCGATGCATTGGTAGTTGTTGTATTGTATGTTGTTGTTTGTGTAGGCGTAGATATTGGTGTGATGATGTTGTTGGAGACGGTGGCATAAGTGTCGGTATTTGGTGTTGCATTGATAGTTATGTTGGTGGTGTGACCTGAGACAGAGGATGTGTCTGGCATATTGCGAGACAATGTTGAGATGATGTTGATTTGTGACGAGTGTACTAATTGTGATTGTTTGTGTGTTTGTGTGTGTTCTCTCTGCTTCTGTACAGACACATCGACAGGCGTTAGGAGTGAGACCAGCAGCGTCGGGCACACAGACACAAGTGCAGCGTCAGAACTCAGTCAACCGAACACCACTAGCACTAGTACGAGCACAAGCAAGAGCACGAGCATGGGCACGAGCACGAGCACTAGCACTGGCACTAGCACTAGCACTAGCACTAGCACCTCCGCCACCACAAGCACAGCATTGACGCCGTCGACGACGATGACCACGGTGGCAACATTGGCTACGATGCGGATGACCGACCCGTCATCAACTACTACTGCAGCTACTTTCGGTAGGTCCGAATTGTTTTGCAATACACCAATCTCCCTACACACCTGTTCTCACACCTCATTCAACACGTGTTCACATGACATGTGTGTTCATGTTGAGTGCATTGACTGACTGTCTCACTGATTGACACATCGACCGACTGACTGTTTGATCAACGTGTTGATTGATCGATGGATTGATTGGTAGACGTATTGATTGAGTGATTGACTGATTGATTGATGAGATGATTGAGTGACTGGTTGGTTAATGCAGAGATCGACTGACTGAATGACAGTGGTTGCGTTGACGAGTGTTCGCAATGCAAATGTGTCGATGGTGAATGTGATGGTGAGTGTCGACAGCGTGTTAATGTTGGTGTGTAGCTGAATGCATGATCACGATCGGTGGTGTAGTGGATTCAGAGATTCAGAGATTCAGAGATTCACACTAATTGTAGGCAGAGTGACACGGATGTGGGATGACGAGAGGGTGGATGGTATGTGTGATGTGTGTTTTGTGTGTGGAATTGTGACGTTGTGTGAAAGCACTGTGTTGTTTTTGTCACGGAGTTGTGTAGATGGTGTTGCAGTGGTCGATGCATTGGTAGTTGTTGTATTGTATGTTGTTGTTTGTGTAGGCGTAGATATTGGTGTGATGATGTTGTTGGAGACGGTGGCATAAGTGTCGGTATTTGGTGTTGCATTGATAGTTATGTTGGTGGTGTGACCTGAGACAGAGGATGTGTCTGGCATATTGCGAGACAATGTTGAGATGATGTTGATTTGTGACGAGTGTACTAATTGTGATTGTTTGTGTGTTTGTGTGTGTTCTCTCTGCTTCTGTACAGACACATCGACAGGCGTTAGGAGTGAGACCAGCAGCGTCGGGCACACAGACACAAGTGCAGCGTCAGAACTCAGTCAACCGAACACCACTAGCACTAGTACGAGCACAAGCAAGAGCACGAGCATGGGCACGAGCACGAGCACTAGCACTGGCACTAGCACTAGCACTAGCACTAGCACCTCCGCCACCACAAGCACAGCATTGACGCCGTCGACGACGATGACCACGGTGGCAACATTGGCTACGATGCGGATGACCGACCCGTCATCAACTACTACTGCAGCTACTTTCGGTAGGTCCGAATTGTTTTGCAATACACCAATCTCCCTACACACCTGTTCTCACACCTCATTCAACACGTGTTCACATGACATGTGTGTTCATGTTGAGTGCATTGACTGACTGTCTCACTGATTGACACATCGACCGACTGACTGTTTGATCAACGTGTTGATTGATCGATGGATTGATTGGTAGACGTATTGATTGAGTGATTGACTGATTGATTGATGAGATGATTGAGTGACTGGTTGGTTAATGCAGAGATCGACTGACTGAATGACAGTGGTTGCGTTGACGAGTGTTCGCAATGCAAATGTGTCGATGGTGAATGTGATGGTGAGTGTCGACAGCGTGTTAATGTTGGTGTGTAGCTGAATGCATGATCACGATCGGTGGTGTAGTGGATTCAGAGATTCAGAGATTCAGAGATTCACACTAATTGTAGGCAGAGTGACACGGATGTGGGATGACGAGAGGGTGGATGGTATGTGTGATGTGTGTTTTGTGTGTGGAATTGTGACGTTGTGTGAAAGCACTGTGTTGTTTTTGTCACGGAGTTGTGTAGATGGTGTTGCAGTGGTCGATGCATTGGTAGTTGTTGTATTGTATGTTGTTGTTTGTGTAGGCGTAGATATTGGTGTGATGATGTTGTTGGAGACGGTGGCATAAGTGTCGGTATTTGGTGTTGCATTGATAGTTATGTTGGTGGTGTGACCTGAGACAGAGGATGTGTCTGGCATATTGCGAGACAATGTTGAGATGATGTTGATTTGTGACGAGTGTACTAATTGTGATTGTTTGTGTGTTTGTGTGTGTTCTCTCTGCTTCTGTACAGACACATCGACAGGCGTTAGGAGTGAGACCAGCAGCGTCGGGCACACAGACACAAGTGCAGCGTCAGAACTCAGTCAACCGAACACCACTAGCACTAGTACGAGCACAAGCAAGAGCACGAGCATGGGCACGAGCACGAGCACTAGCACTGGCACTAGCACTAGCACTAGCACTAGCACCTCCGCCACCACAAGCACAGCATTGACGCCGTCGACGACGATGACCACGGTGGCAACATTGGCTACGATGCGGATGACCGACCCGTCATCAACTACTACTGCAGCTACTTTCGGTAGGTCCGAATTGTTTTGCAATACACCAATCTCCCTACACACCTGTTCTCACACCTCATTCAACACGTGTTCACATGACATGTGTGTTCGTGTTGAGTGCATTGACTGACTGTCTCACTGATTGACACATCGACCGACTGACTGTTTGATCAACGTGTTGATTGATCGATGGATTGATTGGTAGATGTATTGATTGAGTGTTTGTCTGATTGACGGTTTATGTCGTTTTCCTAATTTTGTTGGTGTTGAATAATTGCAAGTTGATTTTTTTGTTGCGTGATATTTGACAGCTGTCTCAAACTCATAATGCTGACCTAATTCAGTTTCCTGAGTAATAGAACCTTATTCTGGCAACATTATTTAATGTGGTCGTTCTGTAACAGTGAAAATTAGCAATGCTGCCATTGAGTAGTAATTTTTACTTCTGCTTGCACTTCTGTTATCCAGTGCGTTCTTGTGTGCATTTATCTTTTCGTCCATTACAATTTTGTACTGATTGTAAAGAGCGGTAGAAAACCGGTAAAATGAAAACATTTGTCAAGATTTTACTGACAACCACCACTTCCAACATCAATTCTGAGATTAGATCCTTCTCCCTAAGTGTTTTCATCATGTTCAGGATTAATAATATCGTAATGCAGGTGGTGGTACAGTTCATTGCATTATTGTCATTGTTATTGAGGTAAATGTTAATAACACTCTAATAGTAAGGCTAATGACAAGTGTAATGATAATGTTATTGACAAAAACACTAATAATGAAGAAAATGACAATGATAATAATACTACTACTAACAATAATAATATTATTATTATAGTCAATAATCACAACGGTAGTAGTAGTAGTAGTATTCATGACATGAATATCAATATGATTACTCTAATTGACATGAAGTGCTTCATTCCTTTCTATTTGTAGAGATCTCTGAGTTCGAGGTGGATATTTTGATCTACATTGAAGAACTTAAAGTGCCCATGAATTGGTCATCTGATCTGTCTAATCAGTCAAGTGTCATGTACAGAAATTTATCGACGTCAATTTGTGACCTGGTAGGTGTGCATTCGTTATGTTTATTGTGTTCTGTATGTAGTGGTATGCAGTAATCAGAGAAGCAGTGTGTGAATAGGTGGAATCACACTAGTGTATGTGACAAAGCATTCTGTGAAACGAAGGGAGTAGACATCTCCAGCAGAGAGGGGCATAGTTCAAAGCAAGTTGATGAGTGTGTAATGCACAGACTGAGTTAGTAAGTAGGTGTGGAAGTATGTAGGTCGAAACTAAAGTATGTAAGAAAGCAATCAGTTAGTCAGTGGGTAAGAAGGTAGTAGTTAGTAAGTAGGTGAGCAGGTGGTGAGTTAGTGGTCATATAAGTGTGAGATTGAAGCCAGTGGTGATGATTTAGTGTATTGAGTGGTGTCCATATTGGTAGTGTGAGCGTCGGTTAGTTGAGTGAGTAAGCCAGTGATTGTCAGTGATTGTCCATTTGTGAAGTGGTAGTCGTGCAGTTAGTCATCACAATGATGATAGTGATGATGATCACTCGTCGACACCGGTCTCATTGAGAATTGTAGTTGTGGTGTTGATATATGAAGAAGCGACCGACAGGTCGACAAACTGACTAACCGAACTAACTGACTAACTGACTGATTGACTGACTGACTGACTGACTGACTGATTGTGTATCCTGTGTAATTTTGTTTCTCACGTTGCAGCTATTGAACGGTCTACGTCTGGGTAATGAAGAGATCTCTCGAGGTTCTACTTGTGTTCATGTCGTCTTCATTCGGATCATCATCTGGATTGACAGTGTCGGTCAAGCTCATACAGACACGGGTGCCAATCGTGTCTCAATCGAAGCTGTTCGAGTGATTGTGAGTGTGCAGTTGCGTCTGTCCCGTGGATCACAACCAACTGAGACTGATCTCTCGGAGACTCTGATTCGTGGATGCACACTCCTGAATATCAGGAGCGGACCAAGTTTGAGAAACATCACAGTATATCGTAAGTTGCCAATTGTTGTTGTCCATTATTTTCACAATGTTATGATTTGATATGGCATGGTATGTTGTGGAATGTTATGGTAAGGTACGGTATGATAGTGAGGAGAGACACCGACTGTGGTGCTATTGAGATAGGAGAGCAGTGACAGTACTGCTTATCATCTGATTATTATCATTCTCAGATGTGCGCAACTGTTGTATGGAAACATATGTGTGTAGATAGTGACTGACTTGCTGATGGATGAGGAGGTGTGACATTGACCAGTTTTCTTTCACAGGTCACATGCATCGTGGTGATGTTGAAGATGTTGAGTGTTTGTGGCTTGTGATGTACGGTGAAGCCTTTCAGTAATGCTACCGTGTTGTGTTGCATTGGTTTGTGAAGGTTTTCTAAATTGTGAAGAGTGAATCTGTGTGTTAAGAAGAGATGAGTTTTTATGGGTGTTTGTTATTGCATGTTGGTTTATTGATTGAAGGATAAAACAAATAAGATACTTCGAACGCATATTACTTCGATGACATTTTTTGCTGCCCGTATTGTGGTTTTCATTTTCGTAATGCGTTCTAAGGTCACTGGGTGTCGCTGGGTGTCACTATATAAAGTGAGTTGTCTTGTTTTAAGCTTGGGCTTCTGTTCGGAATATAGTGTAGTGCCGTGCTTCCATAATAGTTCACTTCGATAACCGTTATTATACCAAACTTAACGGTGTATAAAATCAGAAGGCAAAAGGAAGCGGCAACTACATTTTTATTGATGAGTGATGCAGACCAGAAAGCTGTGGGTACATGAGCAAGTGTAAGCGAGCGAAGCGAAAGATAATGCGTATTGGAGATGGCTGGGAAGCCAACTCGTTTTGAGCAAGCGTTACTCAACACTTATGGTCAGATAAAAATGAATGACAGACAGATGATGAATAGGATACGAAGGGTACACATATACGCTCATATAAAAATACAGTCAAGGTTAATAAGAGAATAATTAACAAGATCAAAATATAACTCATAATTTTTAGGTGAATTGACTTGGCCAGTAGCTAGAATGAAGTATATGGGCTTAACATATAAACTGATACTACAATAGAGCTGCAATGAAGACTCAGTCTTCTCCATCTCAAATAAGCGTGTAGACCATCTAGGTCAAAGCGTTGTTGTGCACCAGATGGAGTTCTGTTGAGGCCGACAAACAATATTTTGTCAGCAGAATAATTTAGGTCGTCGAAATATCAACAACCGTAGTCCCGTATGGAAGCTGACACGAAGATATTACTGGCCGACGAATGCAACTACATGTGTTTTCTGTTTATTTCAACAGGTTCACGAACAAGCACTGTGGCAACGACTGACGATCTCGAACAAACAGAAACAAGTGCCTCGACAGAATCGAGTCAGCCATTCAGGACCACGTCGACGGAGACGATGACTACAATATCGACTGTGCGGATGACCAGCCCGTCATCAACTACTACTGAAGCTGTTTTCGGTAGGTTCACATTATGTTGCAAGACAACAAGTGCTGTGCACATATTTTATCCCATACACACACGGAATATGATGCTGTGAACTGTCTGCTGAGTGCTTGAATTTTTGTTTATTTATATAGATACTGATAGATCAGATGTCATACATTCGATATCAAATTGAAAGATTTATCAAAACACGTGTTCACATGACATGTGTGTTCGTGTTGAGTGCATTGACTGACTGTCTCACTGATTGACACATCGACCGACTGACTGTTTGATCAACGTGTTGATTGATCGATGGATTGATTGGTAGACGTATTGATTGAGTGATTGACTGATTGATTGATGAGATGATTGAGTGACTGGTTGGTTAATGCAGAGATCGACTGACTGAATGACAGTGGTTGCGTTGACGAGTGTTCGCAATGCAAATGTGTCGATGGTGAATGTGATGGTGAGTGTCGACAGCGTGTTAATGTTGGTGTGTAGCTGAATGCATGATCACGATCGGTGGTGTAGTGGATTCAGAGATTCAGAGATTCAGAGATTCACACTAATTGTAGGCAGAGTGACACGGATGTGGGATGACGAGAGGGTGGATGGTATGTGTGATGTGTATTTGGTGTTGCCTAGATATTTATTTCATTTTTATATTTTCTAAAGTTTTCACTTCATTTTTCCTACAATATCGCCTATCAGTGTTCGTCTGGTTGTCTACACTTTGCCTTTAATAACTTCTGAACATTTCTCTCTTATAACTACTTCAGATTATTCTACTCTGAAATCAAGCGACACATTTTCTTCGTCTTCAACTTCTGCTGAATCCAAATCAAATACAACAACCGAGGTTTCATCAACGACTATTACAACGGAATCTGTCTATATAGGTAGAGGTAAGCATTCATCTACTGTTTTTTTATTTGTATTCATACTCTTCTATGATTGGGTTCACTTTTTCTCTATATTTCGTTCCCAGATTAGTGGGAGTAGCATCAGTTTTCCTCTTGTCACAAAAATTTAGTTCTGCCTACTTATTGTACTGACAATTTCAGCCAATTTACTATGCTTTTTCCCCGTGAAACGATTTTGTGAATGCTTGTTTTGAAAAAAAAATAATGAAAGTAGTGATTGGTGTCCGAACATGAACTGACAGATACAGATTATAGAATATTAAGCGTGTGATATTCTTTCTGTCATCGGTTTATACGATGAACTCACTGAGTATGACTGCTTGTAAATGAGTTGAATAAAATGTGGTCTGTCATATACTTTGGTTCTATATTTTTATTCGTGAGTCATACATGGTGTAAGGTGATTCAGTTTGTATATAGTATGTCGTTTGAGTATTCAGTTTAGTGGTTGTAAAATCCCAATCAACTGTCGCTTATTAGATTATTATAGTAGTATATCATTGCAAAAACAGGATTATTTCATTTCCCCGTCACATCATCTTTGCAAATGAAAACTTCTATAGTTGTAAAGATACTGATTTAAAAGTAATTATATTAATCCTAATAGCTAACTAATCATGGGACTGAATCTACATTTTCCAACCTAAATTATATTTCTGAATATCTTATGGATTTCATATATGAAGTTCATTATCTTCTGATCTTCTGATTCAGTGCATATTTGTTTGTGGGGATTTTAGTAACTTTATATAGCTGAAATCATGAGTCAATTGAAGCTAGACCACCATTGAAAACCTGGAAGCACTGAACGGCCGTTTCATTCTATTGTGGAACTCCTCAGCAGTGTGTATCCACGATCCCGCCTCACTAGATTCGAACCCAGGACCTATCAGTTTCGCGCGTGAGCGCTGGTGGTCTGGCTTCAATGAACTCATGATTTATACTATCTAAAATTATATCTTTGACAGTTTTTCCTGATAGTAAACTAAATTTCAAAAAGGAGCAAAATCATATGAACTCATGAATGGATTGTATTTTAATTGAATATTCTAAGAAAATATGTTTAATGTATCTATCAATTAATATAAACAGTACAATTTTGTCTAGTAACTTCTTACTTACTTACTTACGCCTGTTACTCACAATGGAGCATAGGACGGCGACCACCATTCTATAACCCACTCTGTCCTGCACCTTCCTTTCTACTTCTATCCAATTTTTGTTCATTCGTCTCATATCTGTCTCCATTTGTTGACGCAATATGTTCTGTGGTCTTCCTGTTCTCCTTTGGCCTTGAGGGTTCCATGTGAGGGCTTGCCTTGTGACGCATTTGGGTGCTTTCCTCAATGTGTTTCCTATCCACTTCCAGCGCTTCTTCCTGAATTCTTCCCCCACTGGAATCTGGTTTGTTCTCTCCCACAGTGGCTTGATGCTGATAGTGTCTGGTAGTAGTAACTTCACCATAGTTTACAAAAATGTACTTAAGAACCCAAGGTGTATTATTTTAAATTATTCATTTTTAGTCAGTTACACATGAATGGTACAAATTCACCTAGGTCGGATAAATTGGTATACGGTATTGAGGTGTTTTATGTTAATTCAAGAAATTAAATTCACTGATCAAACTGTTCTATGATAGCACAATTTACTGATAAGCAACTTTGCAGGTATAAATGATCTGACTAACGGTTTCCTCATGGATTCCGTTAAAAATCCTGTAGTGATCTAGGTTAGGCAGCTATTGAAGACCTGTATGTTCTATATGGCAACTTAGTCCTAGCATGAGACTCTTTAGCAATTTACATTCACGACCAGCAAACAGGGACAGAACTCAAAACATTCAGTTTCGAGCACGAACACTCAATTTTTGAACTACTGAGCCGGCATCCAGTAGTGTATTAGTCTAAATTCGGTCAATCAGTGATGTCACGTGGAAATCTTACATTGTCATTGGTGGGGCCCTCCCAACATGGTTGAACTTCATTATTCATGGATTTTCAATGATTTTCTTAACCAGATTGGTTTGTAATCTCAATAAAAGGGAATGTTTTGACAACTATAAATTCTTGTGTTGTCCAAAAACCCAAAATTGCTATTGATATGCAGTTCACTCATGTTGTTGTTTATGCCGATTACCCCTCGTCGAGGAGCATAGGCCGCTCACCAGCATTCTCCATCCAACTCCGTCCTGAGCCTTCTTTTCCAGTTCTTTCTAGTTGTTATTCATCCTTTTCATATCTGCTTCTATGAGTTCACTCATACATTCATATATATATAAACCATCAATGACTCATATCTCACTCCTTACACATAAGTGCTATTACTTGGCCAATTGTATGAGTTTATCATTCGGCTAATGTCGAATTGGTCCAATATATCAAACATTTTCTTTAATGATAATATTGTAGTTCTTTGTATTTCTTTTTATTCTTTCCAGTATTTACACAATTTAATGTCAAAGGTGTATTATATAAATCAAATAATGCAGGAATTATTCCATGGTCTGATGATTATACTAATTATCAATCAAAAATTTACATTAGTTTAGCTGCGGTATTCTGTAATTTGGTATGTAATTAATTATTAATATTGTATATAATGAATTATGATATGAACTCTTTGATAAGTCTTGTTGATTGAACTCTGTACTCGGATCCTAAGTTAGTCTCGTAACCCGCAAGGTGGAACTACACAGCGACTTGAACATGAGAGAAAAGGAACAAAATATACGAGAAGCACTTTACTCTAAAGGTTCATTGATGTACAGAAAATATAGGATTTTTTTATAGTATATTAGGAGTCCTTGGGTTTTCCTGAAAATTCTAGAATACTACTAAACATAGTAGCAGTGTAATAATCAGCCAATCAGAACCTGTACATGTGACTTTTCATTTTCGTGATATTTCTAGCAAAACTTCTAATCAAACGATGATTGGTTAAAATGTTTCTTAATGTTTTCCTGAGCTTGTCATGTTTGTTGCGAGACATTTTCAGGATCATCCGAACACTCTTCTTTTATTTCTCTTTCTCTCACTCTTCTTATTTGCCACATAAGCTCTTAACATTTAAACATGTAACAAGAGATTCAATAATAGTTATGTTAGATTGATTTTTGGGAGTTTAGTTTAAGCTGTACATAGTATTTGGAGTGTAATGTGGACTACTTATATCCATATAAGTAGTATATGGTGACGGCTGTACATAGAATGTGTTTTTCCAGATGATCGATAAGGAATGAAGACGAATGAAGCATAATAGGTACGGAAATACATGAACAATAAAATCAGAGAAGATGAACTGATATTTACAGAAGGAACAGTTAAGATTGAGACAATTGATTGATAGTTTGCAAATTAACTGTTCACTGTATGATTATCAGAGTTTACTGAGATAGTCTGTAATTTTATACCTAAATACATTCGATTGTCCTCAATTAGTGTTCTTGTTCACTACAGGAATACCGTTGAAAAGATGTTTAGAGGTAAATACACTGTCACCAATAATACTGGGCAATAGTAACTTTTAATTACAAATTATCTGAAGTTAAAAATATGCATCATTGGGCCCACATGTATAAGTGTGGTTGGATGAAGAGAGTCTTATACAAGAGAATAAATATTTATTCAATACTACCTACTTTTGCAGGAATACTCTAACTGAGATCAATCTTTGATGAATACATACAGACCTAGCAATAACTTAAAATATCTGGCAATCAAATATACATTACGTTTAGTCTCATTGAGTATGTTGATATAAAACTAAATTAAGAAAAAGTCGTGTTCTAATTAATGTCTACAGTTCAACATTTCTTTTAGTTGACTACATTAGACACTTGGATTATCAAGTTATCAGTGATCCACAATAATAGAACTCAATGTTGTAAGCAAAGATGGATAGTGACTAGCAGTGGAATCCAGGACGCGCGTTTCGTCCTATTTGAGACTCGTCAGCTGGATGTACCCGCATCTCAGAATTGATGTTCACTCTGGGACTCAAGGCAATACGCACAGTATGCACATATGCCAATTAGAGACTGACTATTTGCAATCCTAAACACCCCACCTCGCGGGTGGATACGTACTGCTGAGGAGTCCCACAATAAAATGAAACGGCTGTCCAGTGCTTCCAGGTTTTCCATGGTGGCCTAGCTTCAATTGATTCATGATCTCAACTATATAAAATTACAAAAACCCACACGAAACCCCCTTCTGACTATTATTATTATCAGTTTCATTCAATATAAGACGAAACGCTGCTAGCCACTATCCATCTTTGCTTACAATGTTCACTATATGGTTCTCATATTTTAATGAGATATTCTGTGATGTGCTGAAATACATGCGATTGTCCCCATCCGTGTTCTTGTTCACTACAGTACTACGATTACCTAACATGCCATTAATTACATTTGTCTTGCGTTCATGACTCCTTTACGTTCAAACTGTCATCTTTTAATAATCTACAGATATTGTACTCATCGTATGAAATCAATGCATTCGCTTCAGTCTCATTTAGACTTGTAACTATGTAATTATGTGAAGTGGTAATCAGAAGAATCATATCCAATCCATAATCCAAAATAACCTCAAATTATACGATTTCTACAACCACTTAAACTTATTACAGTTCTGTTTCAACTTTTTTTCTCAGCATCTTAACTAATCTTTCTGTCATTCTATTTCTTACCATCAGATTATAAGTAGTTTACTAACTGCAAATACAGCAATATTTCAAGGTGCTAAATGTACAACAGTTATTTTTATACGAGTCACTATTGTTATTCGTGGTAAACGACAAGTTGTCAATAGTGTAATCAACAATACTTCAACAGATGGAGTACAAGGTAGTGCAACAATTGAATTACAAACATTACCTGGTTCACAATTAAGTCAAGAACATTTTTCTCAATTGTTAGCTGATGGTTATAATCAAGTGAATAAAACATCTGATGCATTGTTAAATAATTTAGAGTCAACACGTAAGTGTTTTCAAATCACTTTGATAATTCCATTGTTCTGATAAACGTCCCATTGTTCTGATAAACGACCCATTCTTCTGATAAATGTCCCATTCTTGCATATCTCTCTCCCTCATATTTGAATTAATAATAATACCAACTAATAATAATGACAGTTCGTGTAATCTTACTTACCTACGCCTGTTACTCCCAATGGAGCATAGACCGCCGACCAGCATTCTCCAACCCACTCTGTCCTCGGCCTTCCTTTCCACTTCTATCCAACTTTTGTTCATTCTTCTCATGTCTGTCTCCGTTTCTCGGTGCAATGTGTTCTATCGTCTTACTCTTCTTTTTTGGCCTTCACGATTACATGTAAGGGCTTGTCTTGTGAAGCATTTGGGTGATTTCCTTAAAGTGTGTTCTATGCACTTTCAGCGCTTCTTCCTAATTTCTTCCTCCATTGGAATGTGGTTTGTTCTCTCCCATAGTAACTTGTTGCTGATGGTGTCTGGCCAACGGATCCCAAGTATCTTCCTTAGATAACTGTTAATAAACACCTGTATCTTCTGGATGATGGCTTTCGTAGTCCTCCATGTCTCCGCTCCATACATTAGAACCGTCTTGACATTTGTATTGAAAATTCTAACTTTGATGTTGGTTGATAGACAGTTGTTTTGAGTTTCAGATGTTCTTCAGTTGTAAATATGTTGCTCTTGCTTTGCCGATCTGCGTATTCACATCTGCATCAGATCCACCGTGTTCATCAATGAAGCTGCCCAGTCGTTTAATCTATTTTCTGTAATAAGATACACTTACATATGCTAGAAAATTTAAAGTAATTTCAGAGGAGGAGTAATCATCTATTCAGTGAACAAATGATGGGAGAGATTTTATATCACAGACACTTTAAGGTAAATTATTTCAGATTCTGAAAATTGACTGGTAAAGTCATTCAAATGGAGAGAAAAGTTATAATCTGATTATTTCATTAATGACAAAGAATTACAGATGCTGTAACTAGGAGTTTCTGCATACTAAATTACTTCAACGGAAGTGAAAGATAGTTTCTTAAGTATTTCGAAGAAAAGTATAGGATTTATTGTGAGTCTTCTCTTTCATAAAGGATCGAGTTCAAGTTTATTACATCTGGACTTATAGGTTCAAGTACGGTTAGTCCCAAGTATGTGAAGTGCAAATCGTCTCTGAACGGATTCCAATCTTAATTTATCCTTTATGCTAACACAACTAAGAACAGACGTATAGTATTCTAGGACTGGTTGAACACATACTGTATACATAAAAGTACGTGACTTGTTGTTATAGAGGTTTCAAATTATGCAACCCATAAGACGTTGGGACTTGGAGGCCTGTTTTGAAACCTTTTCTGTGAAGGACGAATTGTGGGAGTACCTAAGTCCTTATGACGATATTTATCTGGTATAGACAATTTTTTAGGTTTACTAAACCTATACGTTTTAAGAGAGTAGCAGGAGTCTAAACAACAGTTAGCGATCAAATTGCATGTGTCAGTATCATCTATGAGACTATTACTTGACTAGAGGGTACCATAGTCCCAGTATCTTAGTAGAGGATACAGTAGATTCCAATCAGCTTGTCTATGATCTCTATATTGACAAGGTTCTTTCATGGGTTGGTCATAAGACGAACAGACAGAGAGAGCACTATTTACTAATTCATGGTCACTGTTATCTCTACATTGTATTGGATCAACTATCACTCCTTGTTTGGGTACTTACCTACTGCGATCAGTAGTGCATCTTAATTATCACTGGGAATCTATCATAATGACCGACAACTACCGGAACCCCAGTTTATTCCAGGGTAATTGAAATCTCCTGTAATGACTTAAACATTGAAGTTTAGAGAGGATGCATGTATAAATGGATTATTATCAAAACCGTCCACGATATCCGAAAAATCGATTGCTCTGTATGCACACCTCTGGAGTAGACGATGATTCAGAGTGTTAACTACAATTGGCCAGTCACTGTTGGTATATATTTACCTTTATATAATTTCTTGCTTTGTAATTTATTCTTACAACAGGTATTTCTCCAGTAATTACGTGTTCAAATACTCAATTAGTTTGTGGTCAACATGCATCATGTCGAAATACTGATAATGGTGTAACATGTACATGTGATCCAATGTGGAAAGATGTGAACCCAACTGATCCTGGAAAGAATTGTACATGTAAGTTTTACATAACTCATATATATGTTGATATTAGGTGTACTGTGCTAGGCGTAAATGATAATTCGTTTAGTAAGACTATAAATCTTCATTGTGTGACGTGATTAGAGCGTGCATCACGTATTCTAAACCATTACCGATTTCGAAAGATGATGTTAGCTAGTGTAAGAACTATTTAAAAGAAAGGTAATCAGTCAAACTAAAACATGTAGATAGTCTCTGGGATCGTCGACTCTTAATCTGAGCCGAGCGGATAGATATAGACTACTTAGTTGAAGTCTATTTAATGTCTTTGCGACTGGAGACGAATTAAAAGGTTTAGAACCGATCATAATGGTACAGAATCATACACACCTTATCTTACCCTAGATCTTGAGTTTCACTAACGTTCCATACATATAATATTATTCTGTCTTCTAAGGTCATGTTCTCAATGTTTCGTCTTTCTTATTATCACTGATCTTACATTATTTCGATTGGTTGGTAAATGTTATCTTGTGACCTCTGACCAATATAACCAGCCCAGTTCCCGATCAAAATTCTGATTCTAATGTAATTAACTATTTACCCCAAAGTTTAATGTCTCTGACTTGATCAACTACATCCCCGACCAGTAGTGCTGACCGTTAACCGGCAGCTAGGTACCTATTCGTTCACTACTCGTTAGCTCCTTGCTACCCCCAACCTTTGAGTTCAAAAGTAGTAACCAACCTTTTTAATATACATATTTTAAACAAATGTTATTTATATACAGACATACTGGACTGCACCACACCATAAAATAAGAAATAACAATTATATACAAACAAGCCAAAAGTGACTGTCAGTAATGGAGACTGTAAGTAATAAACTAACAATTGTAAATCATACAAACATCGTAATTATGATGTTTGATCATAATTTTGTCCTAGAGTGGGACTCAGCAGTGTGCATCCACAATCTTACTCCATAGGGACTTGAACCTTCGGTCTCTCGCGATAATTCTTTAATTATGATATTTGATTATAATTACTTGTGTTACGTCCTTGAATCCATCTACCCACTTTCGTGCAGAGGATAACTTGTCTAATGTAGAATGAGACCTTCACACGATTGGCTGACTGGCTTAACCTTGAGGCTAGTATGCATGAGTTCGAAGCGGGGGTAGAGAGACTAAATCTATTCTATCCCTGATTGCCTGGCAAGCACGCGAAAGAGAGAGAGAAGACAAGACAACTGGAACACTACTCGCTTTATTCCAATCCCGAACTGGTACCCGAATTCCGAATTCAAATTAGTGTAAAAAGATACATGAATAAATAGATGACTAACCTGACCACAACGTACAATAATTAGGAAAATACAATTATGTCCAAAACTGGGGGATTAGAGTAGAAAATAGAGTACAAAAGGTCACGTCTAAATTACAATAGCTTTGGAACAGAAAAAGCTATGTCAATGAATCATACATCAAACGAAAGCTTATGATCTGTAAAATAGACTAGGGACAAAAGTAAATGTTACTGCTTTACAAGCTTTGAATTAAATGAAATAACATCTCCAAAAAATAGCTTCCGTAGTTTGTTAACCCTTCTTGTTTCGCTATTCACATCAACTAGAAACAGCTTGGACCAGATTGCCAGATGAAACATTAGATTTACTTCAAATTCATTCACTGAAATCTTACAACTACATTCTTCCTCATCAAGGTCTCATATTAATTAGGCCGCCAAACACTATGAAACTATTTAATCAAATTTAAACAAAAATTCTTATATTTAATTTTATTAATTCTTTCCCTACCCCTACCCCTACCCCCCCCTATTTTGTTTCCATAGTACATCCTGGAACAATTGCATTAATTGTATTCGCTGGAATATTACTTATCTTAGCTATAATTGCTATAATCTTCTTTATAATTAAAACAAATGAAGTGAAAAAAATGAGATTAAGAACTAGTACACAATCAACTGAATAATGAATATCTATGATATGGTTATTCATAACTGTAGTTCTCTGTTAACCCATTTATGAACTTTATATATTTAGATATATATTGAACAATTGAACTGTTATTGCTATACATTTTAATGCCTAATATGTTAATTTATGAATTCAATTTATAGATGTCATTAATTTAAAAAGAATAAACTATACTCATTTTGATTGTTACTTTCAATTATCAGTATAGGGATTTATGGAGATTATAGTATTGTAATTGATGAATTCACGAGTTGACTTTACTTAGACTATCAGTGAAAATCTGGAAGCACTGAATGGCTATTTGTCCTAGTATGCGATTCCTTAACAATGTGTATCCACGATCCTCATAGATACTTAGACCTTCGATCTCGCACGATAATCATTAACCTTTGGACCATTGAGCCAGCAACCAACGGTGTTAATGTCCAATTTCGATGGATTTATGATTTCCTGCAACCCTTTATCCAATGTTTGAGGTGGATAACCGTCTAACACCCAACACAGACTGAACTCTACTGGTCACAGATTCTTACTAGAACTCCAGGAGTTACATTTTGAAGCTGATCACTAATGAGAAGATGATTGTTTTCACTAAGGGAATTTGTGGAAATTGTAGCATTAAAACAGTTGAATTCATGAGTCGATCTAAGTTAGACCACCACTGAAAACCGAAAGTCCTGAGTTTAATTACCACTTGCAGGATAGTGGATTCATGCTGCTGCGGAGAGTCTCATACTAGACGAAACAGTCATCCAGTGCTTCCAGGTCCATGCTTAGATAGATTTGTCAATTCAACTGTTAAAATTTACTTAATGTTAAGTGGTTAAAGGTACCTCAAAGGAAATCCTAGTCAATCTAAGTTTCATGCTAGTTAACACTTGTCAGTAAATGTATAGCTTTAATATTGAGAGAATTATTTCTTCTTGACTCAAGTGAAATAACATCACTAATTTTTAAAGTTAGAAAGGTTACAACTGGACTATTTCGAAAGTGACTGTCTGTTAAACAGAATTTTCTTCAAAATTATACACTTCCTAATTGATTATGTTCTAGATGAAATTTCAAATCAAATGACATTTCATAGTCGGCTTTTGTGTATCATTGATCCAATCGATAAAACACTGCTCTCCGATCGGCGGGGATCATCACGTCATATACTAAACCGGGCAAGAACGCACGCACGTACCACTCAATCGACATAACAATTTTAATATATGTTATACACCGGAGATTCGATGTGATCACTAAGCTTAAAACCTAAACAACGAGTATTGTTTTTCAAAGTTTGAAGTGAACTAACTTCGAGTTGATTCCTTAGGCTTCGTATATCACTCGTCTTGATCATCGTTAACAGATAACTAACAAAAGTGCATAAATTTCGGAAGATAATAAGCAGCGTTGATTACAGTTTACCATTGTACAACCCAAATCACGAAGTCACAAGAACAAAAAGCGATTTTGAATGGAAGTATGAATCCAAGCAGGCAAAAACAGATGCGAAGTTTTCGACAATGTTTAAGAAGAATATATACATAGGAAAGTGAGTCAGTCGTCGAACGATCTGACGTAGTAAGAGGCATATATGTGTAAGCTGCACCATGAGACAAACAAGCTGTGAGAGATGACCTGACCAATAACCTGTAATCTTAGATATGCCGCTAAATAAAAGCTGTAAAGATTCTTATGACATTAACAAACATTTCATTTATTTCAACATAATTAATTTGCTTATTTCATGTATATACGTATGGAGTTATTGACTGCTTTTTGTTTCGTGCAAAACACTTGTTGAAATACTTTGAGGCTGAGAATTCTTACTTATTTACGTCTGTTACCCCAAATGGAGCATAGGACGCCGACCAACATTCTCCAACCCACTCTGTCCTAGACCTTCTTTTCTAGTTCTATCCAACTTTTATTCATTCTTCTCATGTCTGTCTCCATTTCTCGACGTAATGTGTTCTTTGGTCTTTCTCTGCTGAGAATTCTATCTTGTACTAAACATACAATGTTGAATAAAGCCATTAATAATAATAATCTTAAATGAATAAAAGAGTTCCATCAGTCTCATTCTGTCCGTCGATAAACACTCATAAGCATGATAACAGATAACACATTGTTTTAGACCAGTCTTTGTTTACTCCATTAGTATCGTTGGGTTGAACAAACTTCGGGTGGCTGTAGTATTCAAGTCAAAGTGTTATGAATTTATGCATATGTAAACACTTATGCGCTTAATTCTAAACCTGACAGACATACTTTAAAGTGAATAGATCATTGAATTTTCTTCTTAATCGGTCACAGAATCCAACACATCAATCAATTACTGATAACTATATATTAGCTTGGATTATAAATTTCATCTGATGAGGTTGACGACATATATAACTGCAGATGATATATTGAAGTTCATACATATAATCGAATGGTCATGAAACAAGTTCCTCATTCCGTATGTCGCTATCCCTTAAACGATCACCAGTTGAATCAGTAATGTACTTATCTTTAACTGCCATTCTCCAAGCATAATTCACTCGTTTATATGTGCATATCGTTAATTTTCTTGTTTTCAAAATTGATAATTAAGTCGATAAATGTAATTCAGGTATCTCACTCTGTCTTATTGTCTTAATGCCTAGAAATAACTCCTAGACAAAGTCCACTGATTCGTTCAAATGATTCACTTACACAGTTGATATCATGGACCGACGTTTATTGAATAACCACTGAAAACTGGATATGAATGAAACATGAAAATGATAGAATTTCATCGGATTACATCTGACGTACGAAAATAAATGAAGAATATCAAGTAGACTGCTGGAATTACTCAAACACAATGCAACAAATTAAACGTTTTGAGGTTCTTACAGATATTAATTGACTATCAGAAATACCTTATAATAATCGTTAAATGGAGATCTCCATTCACGACGAACTTCGATTATAACCATGAAATTCACTAGAATTATTTAGCCTACTCATAAGTAATATAAATATTTACAAAAACATCTGCAAATTGCATATCTTCACAGTTGCATATCTGTCAGCAACAGTAACGCATATAGATGAACATAACAATGTTATTCATCAGTAAAAAATCGGTGTATAATCAGTAAAACTATCAACAATCTGTAAAACAAAATGAAACTAATATCACATTCACACAGTAACAGTTTTAGTTGAATAAAGTAACATTTAACAAAACTGAATACTAGAATGATCATAGGGTAATGGTAACAAACAAATATCTAGCTACCATTTTTGGGGGGGAGGGGGTATTAAGCAACTATACTTATTTATAAATATAAACTAGAATAGGACTCTATATTTCGTTAGGTACAATTAATAATCGAAATTGAATATAGTTTTTCTGATAATCACCGTTCACAATCCAGTATTATAGCCGTTATGTATTATGTTACGTAGTAAATGTTCACTTGGAGTTTTTTTCAACAACAAACATTGTCTGATTTTCACATTATAGATCAATGAGTATTCGAATAAACATCAAACATATAATTTTAATTGGAAGTTTGAAATATGAGATTTACATTATACGTACAATTGTCAATTTTCAAAGTAGGCATAAGGAACGTATTCGTTGAAAATCATGAAGGATAGTCGAGAACTATCGTGAATTGATTGAATTTAGAATTGTAAACCCTTGCTTGAACTTGTATGCTTCTTAAATCTTGCACTGTATTCATCGCTTTGTATTGCCTTCTAAAATCTAAACACAGTTGGCAATTTATCTAATAACGGTAATCAGGGGGAGTGATGTACTAAGCATTGAAATTATCTTGAGGATATACCGTTATAATAAAGAAAATGACAAGCGTGTCCATTTGTACTGTGGCAGTACATAGAGACTGTGTTTATTCATTGCTGAGGAGCCCCATACCAGAACGAAACAGTCATCTAGAGTTTCCAGGTTTTTCATAGTGGTCTAGCTAAGATCAATTCTTGATTTAAACTATGATGATAATCTCCATTAATTCCTTCAAACTAAACTTAATCGTATTGTCATTTAGTTAAGAAATCCAGTTGATTAATCTTAAATAGTTGGCTGTGAGATTCGTACTGTAGTGAACAAGAACACTAGTTGGGGACAATCGAATTTATTGTAGCACAACAGTACAGAATATCTCATTAAAATATGAGAACTATATAGTGAACAGTTAATTTGAAAAATAACAATTGTCTCAATTTGACTGTTCCTTCTACAAATATCCGTCCATATTCTCCGATTATTATTGTTCATACATTTTCTTGTCGTTCCCGTTCTCTCCTTATCGATCGTCTACTGGAATGCATTCAATGTCCGACCATCACCATATACTACTTATGTGGATATCAGTAACCGACTTATCTAAACTAACTTTGTATTGCTAATTAAACTTCAATACCTTAAACACAATTATGTGGCTATCAGGACTCAGTGGCCGATTGGATAACGCGATGGCATTTGAAGCGAAAGGTACTGGGTTCGAATCGCAGAGTGAACATGAACTCTGAGATGCAGGTACATCCAGCTGACGATTCCCAAATAGGACGAAACGCGCATCCTGGATTCCACTGCTAGCCACTATCCATCTCTGCTTACAATTACGTTTGTTTCTGGTGTAACAAAAATTAATTCACGACACAAAATGTTATTAGACAAGGATTATTTCAATCAAGCTAAATAATCAGATAAACAAAATCAATAATGAATAAGAACGCATAGTAGTTGAACGGAAGTCATGTATAGGTACATGTTATTGCACAAGTCCTGAAACAAAAATACAGTGTCTAACATTAGTAATACAAGGGGGTGTCAGACAATTATATACATACATTTACACACACACTTATATAAGAATTCATAACTGTTCATAATTTAGTACAAAAATAATCAATGATATTGTACTACAAGATAATAGAAAAGAGTGCAATTGTAATGGATGAGAACATCGATGGGGACAATCAAACTATAGAATATCTTGGTAAAATATGGGAATTATACATGAAATGCTTCATTTGAAAATCTATCTATTGTCTTTTACATTCTGTATGATTCTTTTAATTCATCATTCCTTTCTATTCTCCTTTTCGGTTTAGTTAAATTCGATTTTCTTAGTTTTTTTGCTGCCAGCCATTTAACTGTTGATTGATGTTTCATACTACTTATATCTGTCAACATAAGTAGCATACACCATACGATAACTAATGTGTCCAGCAATTAAAGTAACGTTCCCAAAAGCCAGTGGTAATCTATCACTTTTTGTACAGAATGTATTGTCGTTGAATAATTTTTACTGGCTAGTTTTTTTATTAGAGCGGATCGATAAAGCAAGAGCAGTATATTTACAACTGAAGAACATCTGAAACTCAAAACAACTGTCTATCAACCAAAACCAAGGTTAGAATTTTCAATACAAATGTCAACACAGTTCTATTGTATGGGGTGGAAACTCGGAGAACTACGAAAGCCATCACCCAGAAGATACAAGTGTTTATTAACAGTTGTCTACGCAAAATATTTCGGATCAGATGGCCAGACACTATCAGCAACAAGTTACTGTGAGAGAAAACAAACCAGATTTCAGTGGAGGAAGAAATCAGGAAGAAGCGCTGGAAGTGGATAGAACACACTTTAAGGAAATCACCCAAATGCTTCACAAGACAAGCCCTTACACGGAATCGTGAAGGCCAAAGGAGAAGAGGAAGACCAAAGAACACATTACGTCGAGAAATGGAGACAGATATGAGAAGAATGAACAAAAGTTGGATAGAAGTAGAAAGGAAGGCCCAGGACAGAGTGGGTTAGAGAATGGTGTTCGGCGGCCTATGCTTTGATGGGGGTAACGGGAGTAAGCAAGTAAGTAAGTAGTGTGTAGTTGTCGTGCTTCGTCAATCATTCACCTCGATAACCGTCATAATACAAATCTTAACGGTGCATAAAATCAGAAGGCAAAGAAAAGCGCTATCTACAGTTTTATTGACAAATGACGTAGGCCAGAAAGTTATAAGCACATGAATAAATATCAGCGAACGAAACAAAAATGACACGCATTGGAGATGACGGGTAAGCCAACTCACTTTAATCAATATTTATATTCAGACAAAAATAAATGACAGACATGTGATAAATAGGATACGAAGTGTGTACACACCTACGTTCATATAAAAAATAGTCAAGATTAATAAGTGAATAATTAATAAGGTGAAAACATGACTCATGAAGGTTAAGTGAATTGGCTTGTCCAGAATCTAGAATAAAGTATATAAGCTTAACATAACAACCGATACTAAAAGTGTCGTTGCCTTGATATTCCAGTTTGATAACAAGTGAATTCAACAGATACCACGGTTTCTTTTTATTAACATTATGAAATGATATTTGTATTTCCTCATTTCTTCATAGGTAACTTTAAATGGATCGACTAAAAATGTGCTTCATGTATAACAATACTCGAAAATGATTTATATCATGTATTCTATTTTAATCGACTTAACAATAAACTGGTCACATTATATTTTACAGACCTCCTTCTAAAGTATGGATTTAAAAGTTTATTCCAATATATGTTTACAAAAGAAAGTAGAAAAAGACGTGTCCAAGTTAAGTATCGTGGCTGAATACGGTGACATGCTTAAGGCAGTAGCTAATATTAATCATCGAACAAGTATAAGATACTAAGTTTCAAAATAGTTATAGTTAATCTTTGGTTATTTAACTCGTTATAACTTGACATGCATGACATTGATCACCACCCAGTGATTAATCAATTGTGATTACATCTCAGTCCTACAGGAGGTCGGTCACGGCTCGAATAGCTCAGTGGTAATGTCGAATCCATCATGGAGCACCAGTTCCCTCAAGATTACAAATACACCTTGCTGACGAGTGCCAAGTAGCACGAAACCCGGGTTCAGGGTATCCTATAGACCCCCTCTAACCACCATCTTATCTCAACATAGTGTATGCAGTGTCGAGCCACCTAGACTAGTGGCCACATTGCAAGTTGGTCGATAGCATTCGATCAGCACTAAGAAGGACTTGACACGCATGACATTGATCACCACCCAGTCATCAATCAATTGTGTTATAACTTTCTTCCCTGAATACTCTTGGCTTTCTCATGTTTTAGTGAGTTCGAAGAAAGTTTTTCACTTGACTTACTATATAAAGAGGTTACATGCTTTTGAGATTAGTTGATATTTAATTTTACTATTTGTAAACTCCTGTATGTTACTTACTATTTATTCCTGAGTTTTAGAGAAAAGATTTTACTATGTTGCAGATAGTGCTGAAGGCAGTTAGCAGGGCGTGGTGAACCTTTTTAGGTCATTACGAATATGGTTGTGGACAGACATTTAGAATCTTGCAAACACCTTACGAGTGTTAGTGAGTTTATGAACTGATGACACGTTTTGATTTGTCCGCCCCTAACTTTCTTCCAGCCGTCTTCAACACTAGTAAGCATCGTGCGTTGTAGTAATCGGTGGTTGAGCATGAGTAATACGTGGCCCATTATTACTTACCCGGTGATCCTAGTAGATTCTGGCAATATTTCCAAGACATCTGTGACCAAATACTAGTAACTTACGAGAATCCTCTACCCTTAATGGCCACAATTCGCAGCCGTAAACTAAAACAAAACGAACTGCAGTGCAATATACTCGTCCTTTAATTGATAGATGGATATCTCGTCTTCACCAAATGTGACGTAAGTTGGCAAAAGCCAAACGAGCTTTTTGAATCCTTGTAGAGATTTCGCCGGACAACAACCCATAAGGGCTGATCAGACTCTCAAGATAAGTGAAATTGTCGATGCGTTTGAGATGAGTCAAACAAATCTCCACAAAACCTCTTCAACTAAATTACAGGTATTTTCTTTTTACCTAATCTAAAAATTAAATCTTTACTGACAGACTTTAACTTAATTCCCGTAAATTTTTTATACAAACGTACGTTAAAGTAACAGAAAGGCTCAAGTGCTGATAACAGAGGTTAAGTATTATTTCACAAGTTTGAAATTAGTTAAACATACATGTCAAGATTTATATACACAGTTAGTAGTATTACCAATCATATACTACCGAGAATACGTTCGAACCGTAATAAGCAATCATACGGTAACAGAATACTCTGTGTTTAATAGCGAATTCATATTGAATAATAGACAGACAACGTAGTAAATATTATTCTTTGAGTCAAAAATCAGGTGAACATTTCCAGTGTACAATCTAATATCTATTCTGGTTGGCAGTTGGAGCCAATCAATAGAGAATACTGAATCAAGATTTCTTGCTAGTTGGGACATGTCATCAAGGTATCCCTACATTCCTGGAGGAACTGGCATTCTCAGTGAGATTTTAAACATAGGTGCCGGATTTTCTGCCGATTACTTTCAACCATGAAACAGTTCAACTTAGTGGACATGATGTTCAGATTAGTGACTCACATTGCAACTTGATCGACAGTTCGGCCTGCATCAAAGGACCAACTACACATGAGATGTGTCACTATTCAATGATTAATCAATTACTAGCCAGTTTTACACAATTCAACACCGTTGTTCGTAAGAAGAGATCTCTAAAAGTTTCAAATACTACATATTCAGCGAAATTCACTTGAAATATAAAATATCCAACATATCCTAGATCCTGGAGCCCATATGCGCCATTGGTTTGGAATCAGGGTTTTCCAACTCCCTTATGTGGACTCACCATGTCCACCAACCTGGTTAAAGCGCCGGACATTCGCTTTTCGTCCTCTCAATTTCGTAAACAACACCCTCGCCACGAGAAGGCAGTGAGTAGGACTTCCCTGGCAGAGAGTATATCGGCGTGGCCATGTGAGAGCATTTCGAGAGGGAAAGTGGCCCCTTCCCACTCTCGGCCGTACCAAGGTATCTGGGGGCTCACATGTCTCCTGAAGCATTAGAAAGAAGGCGCGAAAGGAGAATAAAAGCTTTACTCCAAGATCAGTTTGTTTACAGAAAGACGTAGGTATTTTATTTTTAGTATTACACCTGACCAATAAACATGGAGACTTCTGAGAGACTGTCAAATTTAATAACAGCGTAGATGACTATCCAAATCAGCCTGACGTGTACCCTATCGACTTTTATTTTCCTTAAAAATTCTCTAACAACTTCTATTGAATAATAAAATCAAGAAAATGTTTTCGTATTTACCTAACTCCTTAACACTACAATAAAGAATTCTTTAAGGATTTTAATAAATCAATAAAGAAATATAAATTTGAAAAAGAAAAAAAATTTATTGTAATAATCTAAAATTATCTAAAAATGTGTTGATTAGGGACCGGGCAATAAATGTGTTCGTAATAATAATAATAATAATAATATCGATGATGATGAACACCGGGGATGAATATGGACACCAAAAAACATCAACATGGTGGAGACGATGATGCTTGAATTGTTATAAGTAATAAATAAATATAAGAATTTAGTTTTATTCCAAAAAAAAATAATAATCATATCAAAGTATAATAAGTTCTCTTTGATGAACAGTTGTTAGTAGTATCAGTAGTGTTAGTAGTAGTAGTAGTAGTAACGTACAATTTAATCATTGGATGTTTGTTTTTTCTAATAATCTTTTGTAATAGATTTATATGGAGGTGGATAATTATTCCAATTCATAGTAGACATATTGTTATTTGGTAAATAATCATTTTCATTAGTTATAGTATGATAATTATTACTGATTAGTTCATGATTGGGTTGACTAACTAATTTCTCATACTGATATGGTTCAACTATACGATTATCATTTATGGAGGATAGTTCTTGTGCTACTATTGGTGAGTAACTATTAACAGCTTCATTATTACTATTATTATTATTATTACCAATACTAGTTAATTCAGATATTCTTTGATAATGTCTGCGTTGTATTCGACGTATTACAAAAACACTACCAATTGAGCCAACAATAATCAATAATCCACAAATAAACGCTGAAATAATCGAATTTTTGTTGCTGGTATTGTTGTCATTATCGTCATCATTTGATGGTATAATATCCGGATCACCTATACCGGCAATGAAAATCCTATACGACATAATGATGCAAAAAGGAAAAAAAATGAAAAGGGGGAAAAACGAAACAAAACTAAAGGGAATTAAACAAAAAATGAAGAGAGAACAAAAAAGGATTTTCTTAAGGTAGCAAGATGATAATTTTTTTTCTTCATTAAACTCATCGTAGGCGAGATATTAAAATTGTTAACTAAATGCGATATTCCTCGATTGTATAGTGGTGAGTATCTCCGCCTGTCACGTGGAAGGCCCAGGTTCGATTCCCGGTCGAGGAGTCGGCTTATGTGGGGGGAGGGTAAAATCCGACTCACACGTCCTCGTCATGCCTCCTCCTGGATTAATGGGACTGTTTCCATGAACTAACGTGAGCGGTTAATCGCGGGTGGTCGAGATCGGCCTAATCAACCACTCTACCAATACCCGAAAACGATTACGAATGCTACAATGAGTCATTGCATAACTATTGAGGGTTCAAAAAAAGTGGTTAAATAAAAAATGAGTCCGCCCAAAAAAATAAAAACAAAAAGGCAAAAAATGGGTTGTGAGAGTTATTTAATGGTTCTGAGTAAGCAGTGCAAAAACAGCTATCCCACCCCGATAGTTGTGCCGTGCTTCGATGTAGCACTCTTCTCCAAAAGGGCCTACTAGGCTTCACCATTCTATATGGCTGGAAGGGGTTAACTAAAGGATAAGTATACTTTGATGAACAGTATGTTGATTATGAAACATGATCTATGAAAGCAGAAGATGGATGTAGATTGAATGGTTCGATAATGAGTGGTCACGTATCATAGAACAATCGGATGAGCATTTTTTCCAATTTAAAAGAAAGATGCTAGGTAAATGTGATAAGTCGGTTTATGGGAAAGTATAATATTTTTTTATTCATAACTGAAGTGGTTGGAACTTGTAGTGTGTAAGCATAACTATAGTCTACCTTCATACTTGATGTTTGTCGGTGTAAGAGTAGTTTGGAAGAAAGCTTGAGGGTGGCGAAACTAAAACTTGACACCAGACCATGAAGTCAACAACTTATGATATAAGTTACGATTGTAAGTGCAAACTATCTGGTTGAGTTCCGAACGACTATCGTGATCATTAGTTGAGGATATTCGACCATATGGCATAGAAATTATCACAATGATCCAGATACATATATTGTCTTATTCGAGATTGTGATTTCTAATATTCTTCTACATATACGTTATCATTTTGCTTTCCTTATTTATATATTTTTAATATTCAATCTTCGATTGCTTTGCTATTCATGTTGTTAAACTTATCGTGTTGATATGAAATGGCAACTTAATTTACTGTGTATTATTGTACCAGATTGTACGTCTACCATTGGCTGACTATCTGAAATTAAGGTTAATACGTCTCCGAACACGTGAAAAATCACCTTTTCCATAGAACAATTCTGTAAATGACAACATAGTGTAAGATCATTCAAGTGGTGATTGGAATTAATCCTAAAGTAATTACACTTGATTTATATACTATAAGCGAATATTACATTCAGTACAATCGACTAGGTCTAATACACAATGCCAATTCTAAAGCTACTCACATTTCTAATTATGTGAGTAGCACATTTGTTTGTTTCATTTAACTCTGTCAAATATTCTTTTTCAGGTTTTGTTATTCAATTATCCAAGCGTTGATAACTTGCAGTGAGATGTCATCATTCCATTTAGAAAATACACATAACACAGTTCTGTTAAATAAATACTCTAATAAAATTCAGTCTTTTAATCACCTTGGGTAACAATGCAAGCACGTTTGGAGTTCGGTTCTTATACCTTAAATACAAACTGTTACTTCCGAACTAGTCCGAACCAACGAATAAATTAATGATAAAAAGTGTACTAGCTAAACGCATCGACCAATTTACTTATCTTAAAAGTTTCATCAGCCCTGCTGAGTTGGTGTCTAATGGAATCTGAGCGTATATTCATAAAGCCCGGTTACATTTTGCGGATTTGCGTCAGCTGCGTTATAGTCTAAATGTCCATCTTTTAATTAAAGAATTAATGTAATTGATAAGTTTGATGAACAGTGGTAATAACTCAAACGAACTTTATTGAACACTTGATATAACATCTCCATTCTCCTCTAGCCCTCGATAATACTATACATTAGTTCGTTGTTATTTTACGGCTTTGAAACGTGGTGTTTGGAAAGCAAGGATATGCCTAGGTTACTAGTATTTAAATACGGATGTCTTTGAAGCACTGATCGCATTCATTTAAAGCACCGAATCATCAATGATGAATTTAAGTACATAGTACTAGGTAGAGATAGTAAGTTGATGGGGCGACGAATTTCCATCAGTTAAGGTAGTTAGGATAAGTGTAATGTATATCCAGCGACCGCTTATCTCAATGAGAGGTGAATTACGACTAAGTTGTAAGATATATAAGGGCGTTCAAACCGAGACGAGACATCACCCCATGAAATCACTGACTGTTAAACTAATCAGTAAAGGTAGATGCATATTATTCAGCTCAAGTTTCCACAATAATCAAATAATAAATAAGCTTACCACGATGAATAATTTGTGTTAGTATAGTAATGTTTCGAATGAGGACTGCCTAAATTTATAATTTGTTCACGTACAGCAACGTGATTTTCAGTTGATTGATCATGAATTTGATCAAATCGATCACCATACAAAGCGAATGGTAAACCAAAATGATATGATTTCGTCTTAACATAACGATTGTCAATAGGCCGGGCAGTACCAAGTCGAACTAATTGAGCCCGAGTATTTTGAGGATCGATCCAATAAGCTGCAGGAAATTGTAAGTATGCATTGGGCCGTGTAGATTGAATTACTTTATTATCTTTTGATACTTCCAATCCTAATTGGATAAATGGTGACTGGAAAATATATTATGAAATAAAATGAATTAATTAATGAATTAACAAATCAATTGTGTTATTGTCATACTCTCCTTACTGTAGACTAATAGTAGACCTATCAACTGTTACTAAACTTTATTTCCTAATTATTGTTAAACAATCATGTACCATTTGTTTTGTTCTTTGTCAGTTATGATATCATTGTTTAAAGTGTGATATCTTATTTGATGTACTATACCAGTTTAATAATCTGTGTACATGAAGTAATGAGTGTTTGAGATAGTTGTTAGTTGTGCTGACTGATTGGTGACTTCTTTACAGAGAGAGCCAATAGAATTGTAGCTTATGTTGACTTAAGGTTGACAACAGTCCAGTATAGAAAGTACAGTTGGTCAAGTCTAAAATGTTAGACTATAGATGGAATAGTAGACGCTGGATAACAAAAAATTATAGTTGGAATTCCGATTACTGAATGAAGCACGTGATAGTCATTGATGTCTCAAGAGATAACAGACAAACAAGAGGTAATCCGTCAACAAACTATCCAAAATACTAATTTCAATGAAATCATTATTAGCTTTGGATTGTGTTGAAAGTACATCGTATTTTGCAGTAAAGAGTGATATGAGAATCTTTATTTTCAATATAGTCATATAAGAAGTAGATTGCCCCTGTATATAAGTACAGAAGTGGGTAGGTGCTTTTTATTAGCCGGTAGACCTTAGCAATGTCCACAATTTAATTTGCAAAATGATAATTCATAGGATCTTTTAATCATGAGTTAATTTATCCCCTTTTGTAATAATGAATACTACTAATCAAAGTGAAATAGAATTCTATATAGTATTAATAGCCATCTTATTATATTCTTTGATAAGAATCCTTACATGGAAAAGTGGAACAACTGTTCAATGGTTAAAGATATTCAACTTTCAATCACTAAATGACAAATTCACAAACACTATTCTCTCATATTACTACTACTGTTTCAGAAACCAGCTTGTAAGTAATACTAATACCAAATATTTGATATGTAACGTAAAACTTAATGTGTGGTATATGCTATTTATGTCGATATATGTAAGTAGTATGTGGCACCAATCGAAGGTGGAATGCATGCCAGCAGAAGACTGAGAAGATTCAACATATTCTTAGTATATAGATTATATGTATATTCGTATTCCTCTTATTATAAAATCCCGTTTGACCTACTGACTACTGCAACACGATTTACTATTCTTAATTTATTCCCAATCTATTAGTTACAATCTCCCATACTCACAGCCAATTCTGGTTTGATCTTGTATAATCATTATTTTTATTGTATATCTGAAATATACGATTCGTATAGCGGAGGCAGATATTTGTGTTCTAGGCTGAAATAGACGAGAAGCTGCTGCACAGAGGACTAATAAAGATTCTGAGTTGACTCAAGGCTGTTCGTAGTTGATGCATCGTTGGTTTAGCACAGGGACATAGTCATAAGAGTCGGTATTCTGACTTCGCGATTTTGTCCTGTGATAACTGACAGGGCGATAGGTCATAACAATACACATGATGCATTTTCTCATAACAACCGTTTTTTTTAATTTTAAGATAGTACTGTAATTTAGCAATATCACAGTTGCAAATTAGTCTTTTTATAAATGGTAAATGTTCACAGTTAACTTATTACAAACGATGTTTGCTGAGTGATATAACTGAATAGTGACTACATTGAATGAAGAAAACCCTAAATGTTACTGATTCGTTGCTCCATTTATTTTGTAGCGTTTCCGAAGGACCATTTTATACTGTATATACTGGATACTAAATTTATAAATTCCTGGTAAAAAATTCTTTTATTTCACTAATCTATGTTTTCTACTCGAATCGTATCTTTGATACTAATTCTTTTCTATCACCATTATTATTGTTATTAATACCTATACTCTGTGATTTGTGCGGCGCATATATATCTGGTGCCCCCTTGTACCAATATATATGTGTTTAAATAATAATTAATAATAACTACTCTGTGATACGGCCTAACAATTTCAGCTTGCTATGCTAACGAGATGTGGTAACTTAAACTAACGTATATATGTGGCCCGGTTTTATGTTGTGTAAGACTAACAATTTAAGTGACTCGGCATTATATTATTGGATGTTTATTGGTAGCAGTAGTGGTTAGTTAAAAGCATTCAGTAGGAACCATGAATTTAAATTTCTTTAATCGGTTGGCAAATGTCAGCAGTAAAGCTGCATGCATTTGCGATCTTTTTAGAGAACTACTACTTCCTTCATGAGCTTTTAATCCAAGAAGTTGCCGAATATCGCAAACACATATACGATTGTTGGATCATTCAAAGGTCAAGTAATAATATGTACATATAAAATAATTAATATAGAATGAGAACACGATATACAGGCACCTACTATCACTAATAATTATTTATGATATTGTTAAGTCTATCGAAGCGTCCAAATGACCCGATTGAGATACGCGCAAAATCGAAGTTCCAAAACAACGATTTGTCTACAAAAGCGGTTCTATTATTATATAAACACAAAGTTTAATTACAAACCTCAACTTGTGAGGTGTCTAGGCGTTTAACGCGTCGTTCAAGAATGAAATAGTAAAGGCTTCGATAGTACAAAGACAGCCGATGGCTGTGTCGAAATTGGACAACAGTTTATGAACAATCGAAACTCGAACCAAGAGCAAACAATATGGGAACTGTTGCGTTTAAACAAATCCGCAACTGTGGATAACCGTTACAGTAATTAAAGTACCGTGATTACAATGACAAATACAATGATAAGTGCAATAAACATTATAAATATATGGGAACGTTTCCGAATGTTACAGTACAACTTGCGTTACAATGTAAATGTGAAAATTGTTAAGGATACAACTGCTTACTGAATATAAATAAGTAGTATAAAACAATAAACAAAGAAGTGGAAGGAGAGAGAATAGGAACAATGTAAGGCAAACTTAACACCGCCCCCCAAAGACAGCATGTCTTTCCTCACTTTCGCTGATTGGGAACTAACGTAACATCATTCAGAGGTGACCATGGTACAATTTACTCTAGCCACAGTCACTCTGAAGCGTCTATCTATCCTCTACTGTTCAGTTATCCGCTCCTTCTAATAAACAAATTTTACGTATATCTCTAATAATTATGCCTTTCGACGTTCTGATTTTCGCTTGTCTCACTAGCCCATCTTCTTCTGGGTTGATACTTACCACTAGACCTTTAAGCCAGTTATTTCGTGTGTAGGTGTCTCCAATAATCAAGACTAGATCACCAACTCGTAGATCTCGTCTCCCTTGTGTCCACTTTGCTCGTGTCTGTAAAAGTGGTAAGTACTCCTTTATCCAACGACGCCAAAATGTAGTTGCCAACAGCTGCGCTTGTCGCCATTGTCGGGAATAACGCTCACGTAGGCTTATTTCAATCTGATGAAGGCTAGGTTTTCTTAACAAAAGTAGATTATTAGGTGACAATGTCTCAAGTTGTTCTGGGTCGTCGTAAACTGGAACTAAAGGTCTATCGTTAAGTATTCTTTCTACTTCAGTCAAATAAGTGGTGAGTGTCTCGTAGGTCATAGTTTGCTCGCCAGATACAGCACTCAAAATTCTACGTATGCTCCTTATTAATCTTTCCCATATACCTCCACGATGACTTGCGTAAGGGATGTTGTAGTGCCACTCGATATTTCGACGAATCATTTCCTTAGCTACTCTATTATCTTTAAAGTCTGGTAATAGAAGTTGTATTTCTTTCTCTAATCCAGCGAATGTGGTTCCTCTATCACTATATATCTTCTTCGGCGTCCCCCTGCGATTTGAGAAGCGAGACAACGCCATTAGAAAAGAATCGATTGATAATGCGCAGGCAACTTCTATGTGAACTGCTCGGGTGTTGAAGCACGTAAATAAGCATCCGTAACACTTTCGAGGTTTGCGTCCCTCCTTAATCGTGATTGGGCCGAAATAATCTACTCCTGTCGTTGCGAACGGGAAGTCGGGTGTTATCCGCGTAGGTGGCAAGTCTCCCATCAGTTGTGACATCGGCCTGGCTGATCTAATGCGGCAGCCTATACATTTATGTATGATCCTCTTGATTGCAGTAGTGCCCTTTAAGATCCAAAACTTTTTGCGCAAGGCGGCTAGTGTGTAGTACACCCCCATGTGTCCGTCAGCTTGATGGTAGTGACGAATGATAAGCTCCGTTATAGGGTGTTTGCTGGGTAGAATAATTGGATGTTTCTGCTCTACCGGAAGATCACTACGGTTCAAACGTCCTCCTACGCGAATCAGGTTGTCAATCACGATTGGACGTAGCTTATTAATGACATGATTTTTGGACGGAATGTTATCAGATTGCTTGTGTCGTTTAATCCATTGTATAATTTCCGCAAACTCTTGCTCTTGTACGTATTTTAGTAGGTCTCTTTCGGCATTATCCAATTCGTTAAGCGTAAGGGGACCCTTTACGGTCGTTTTATTGCAGAGGTAACGTTTGAATCTGATGAGCCAAGCTGCATCTTGTTTGAGTTTAATCCATGACGAAAAATAGGATATAAATTTATCAAAGGGAAAAACTGTAGTCATGGTGTCCAAGGTTGTGGCGTTCTTTAACTCTAGCTCAACTGGGAGCTTTAATATTTCTTCTCGTCTATACTCACGCCATTTATCTTTCTCAGTCGTTAGGAACTCGGGACCTGAAAGCCAAGTTTCAATACAATTAGAGTCATACTTACATATTCCTCTGGAAGCAAGATCAGCAGGATTGATGGATGATGGTATATACCTCCATTGAGATGGCTTAGTTCGCTCGTGAATAAAGTTAATTCTATTAGCTACATATGTCTTGAAACGTGACGTCGTATTAAATATGTAATTTAATACTATCATAGAATCCGTCCAAAAGTAGATTTCAGTCATGTACTTTAGCTTTATTTCTTCTAATATTTGCTTCATCAACTTCACTGCCAGTACTGCGGCTTGTAGTTCAAGGCGAGGAACACTGACAAATTTTAGGGGTGCTATTCTAGACTTGCCTAGGATGAAGCTACATCTCGTTATACTTGCATCATATTGTAATCTCATATAGGCTACAGCTCCGTAACCGCTTTCTGAAGCATCCGAAAACAGATGTAAAGAAATCTGCCCTTTATCGTACGACTCAATATTGAGACATCGTGGTATCCTTAGGTCTCTGACACCTGCAACTGCTTGTAACCAACCTTCCCAACTCAACCGTGACTCCTCGTCTATGATCTCATCCCACCCATAGTTTTTACGACATAGCCGTTGAAGAATTCGTTTAGGTATAAGTGATAAAGGCGCTAAGAACCCAAGCGGATCATATAACGATGATGCACATGATAGAATGCCTCTCTTAGTGACCGGGCGTTCAGGGAGATTTACGTCAAATGCGAAACAATCGGATTGCGTGTGCCAACAGAGTCCTAAAGTTCTCTGTATACGTTCGGTTGAGCCTGGTATACGAACCAAATTGTTTGACCTGTCGTCTATAGGGATATCGTTCAGCGCTTCATTTACGTTACTAACCCATTTATGTAGACGGAAACCTCCAAGCGCTAAGAGTCTTGTCAGGTTAATTGCTAACTCGGCAGCTTCAGATACTGTTTCTACTGAGACCAGACAATCATCTACATAAAAATTTTCTCGTAAGGCGGACTGTGTTTTTTCATCGAACAAATCTTCGTGGTCTGCAGCCGTACGTTTTAAAGCATAAGTAGCACAAAACGGTGAGGACGTAGCCCCGAAAGGGTGTACATGCAACTCATAGATCTCAGGAGAAGAGTCAAGGTTACCGTTAGGATACCATAAAAAACTGAAGGCCTTTGTATCCCTTTCAGGTAGATGTACCTGGAGGAACATTTCTTCAATGTCTGCTGACAGTCCAATTTTATGCTTTCTGAATCTAAGTAAAACTCCCACAAGATCGTTTGTAAGATCTGGTCCAGAATGTATACAATCATTTAGAGACCTGTTTTGCAACTTAGCAGCACAATCAAAGACTATCCGAACTTTACCTGGTTTTTTAGAGTTAAACACGGGATGATGTGGGATAAAATACCTTTCCTCTTCGATAGCTTGTGTTACTCGAGACAAATATCCTTTACTTTCGTGGGTAGCTAATATAATAGTATACTGTTTTCGAAGCTGTTCGTCCTTTAGTAACCTTTTACGTAGGTAAATTAATCGTTTTTCTATTTCACGCTTATTGCTTGGAAGTGAGTGCCAATCCACTTTCCAGGGTATTGGCACTTGATAATGTCCATCAAGTAATACTGTTTGTTTGTCAGTAGTTTCCATAATGGTCTTATCACATAGGGACATGGTAACCTCATCAGAGTACTTATTTTCAGAAAATTCATGTTCAAATAGTTTGAGAATATCCTCCTCGACAGAATTTCTTGCTTCTAGACAGTTTATGAAGGCTGAAGTTTTACCAAGTTGACCCGTCGGTCCAAATAAAGCCCATCCTAACATAGTTAATGAGGCATAGGGTTGTTTAGGTTTCCCGATACGCTGATCGATGACCCAGTGGGCCTCTGGGACGTCGACACCAAGTAACAAACCGACCTTGTCACAGGTTATGGTGGGTAGCTGTACACCTTTCAAGTGTTTCCATCTTTCTTGGAAGTCCATTGGTGGGATTTCTGCCCTTTTAATAGGTAGATTATTTATAGCATATGCACCTTCGATTTTTATTCGATTAGTCTTGTCTAAAGATTCGATTTCGAAATTAATAAGTTCAGCGTTCTGAGACGACGCTCCAATTACAGAAGATATGCTCAATCTTGTCACTGTACCCGAAATTCCTACCTGCTTTGCCACATCACTAAGCAGCAGTGTCGAGTCCGAGCCATTATCCAATAATGCATAGGTATCTACATGTCCTGTGGGACCATGTAACCTGACTGGTACAAATCCCAAATACGTTCCAGCAGAATAAGTAGAATTACAGCATGTTTGTTTAGCATCAGGTTCTGTGTTGTGAAGAATTCTATGATGACGTCGCTTGCAGCCATCGATTTCACACAACACGGGTTGCCGACAGTCTTTTGCTCGATGATTGGGTTTTAAACAACTAAAGCAAAGCTTAAACTTCCTCAGTAATTCTAACCTTTCGTTGTGACTTACTGCTAGCAGTTGTGGGCAAGACACGACTTCATGGGAACCAGAGCAAATTACGCAATGAACCTTTCCTTTGCTCGACGATGTATGAATCTTAGCTTTAGTGGGAGCAGACCGGTTGTTCGATGTCGTTTGAGCTTTGTAGCTCCCACTTGCTAGCTGTCCGTAAGTGTTCGTGGCAATTGACACTTTCTTTTCCAAGAATTGTAACAAATCATCAAAATTGGGTTCTAGACCCCTTCTTAAAATATCGTCTACAGCTTCCGCCCATTTAAACTGTATACTTCGTGGAAGTCGTCTCACTATTCGTTTTAGATTGGTCGAACAATTCAGATCGGCATTTCTGCCCATCTGTGTCAAGGCTATCTTACAGTTAGTCATGAGTCTTGTTAGTTTCTGTAGTCCCGATATATCGTCTTGATTTAGTGGCACTCCATTTAACAACTCTGTTAAGAACGCTTCTACTATGTCATGTGGTTTACCGAACTGGTTGTGTAGAATGTTAATAGCTTTGGTATAACCTTCTCCTTCTGGTAACAAAACACAGTGCTCTATAGCGTCCTTAGCTGCTCCTTCACAATAATGTATCAGGTACATTAATTTCTGAGTATCACCCTCTACTCTGTCGGCAATGTTAGCCTTGAATCCCTTTATGAACGTCCAAAATTTCAAAGGACTTCCATCAAATTTCATAACCTCTATCTTAGGTAAACTGGCTGTCATAACTAGTGACTTGATACTATCCGCCTGTGCTTTAAATTGTACCGCTTCGCTCAAATGTGTATTGGTGTATTGGCGCCTTAACACGGCTGCTGGTGTTACGTCTCCAGATCGAGACCCCAATGACTCATTAGTCTCACTCACTTTTCTCACTTGGCTTAAAGAGTTCGGGGTTAACTCTAACAATCGTTTGCGTAGTTGAAGTTCTCTAATCTCCAACTCAATCTTTTCTACTTCCTTCTCCCTAGAAACTACTTCGTCCTCTATGCTACATCTAGTCTCTACATTGTTGTCCCTTACAGAACAGCTGTCTTTGGGGTTAAGTAAAACATTATCAAGAGCAAGATTTAAAGAAATAGGTGAATTCACCTTAGAAACTGAAGGAATAATATTTTCAGCATTATAATTGTCTGTGTCTTGGGAACTGTCATCGCTGTACTTCATCCTTCTCGTTTTCGTCATCGTTAGTTTGAATGAACCAGAATCGATTCCGACCAAATTAGTTACAGCAAGTATCTTCAACAATTAGGACCAAAGTTCAGAACTGTATCCACACCAATAAGACCAAAGTTGAGAACTGTTAAGTCTATCGAAGCGTCCAAATGACCCGATTGAGATACGCGCAAAATCGAAGTTCCAAAACAACGATTTGTCTACAAAAGCGGTTCTATTATTATATAAACACAAAGTTTAATTACAAACCTCAACTTGTGAGGTGTCTAGGCGTTTAACGCGTCGTTCAAGAATGAAATAGTAAAGGCTTCGATAGTACAAAGACAGCCGATGGCTGTGTCGAAATTGGACAACAGTTTATGAACAATCGAAACTCGAACCAAGAGCAAACAATATGGGAACTGTTGCGTTTAAACAAATCCGCAACTGTGGATAACCGTTACAGTAATTAAAGTACCGTGATTACAATGACAAATACAATGATAAGTGCAATAAACATTATAAATATATGGGAACGTTTCCGAATGTTACAGTACAACTTGCGTTACAATGTAAATGTGAAAATTGTTAAGGATACAACTGCTTACTGAATATAAATAAGTAGTATAAAACAATAAACAAAGAAGTGGAAGGAGAGAGAATAGGAACAATGTAAGGCAAACTTAACAGATATAAATATTTTAAGTTTGAACTGTTGATCTTTTTAAAGCATTAAGACCAATAGGAACCGATTGACAACAATCGCATTAATCCATCCATCTTTGCTTATAATGCTTGTGAATTAGGACTATAACGAAGCAAGCCGCACAGGATGCATATATGCTAATAAGATTGATGAATTGCAGTCCTAAACATCAATAGGAAGATTTAAATAAACAATGAATTAAAACTTCACCCCATTACACAAGCTGGTGGTTATCAGGACTCACTAGCTAAGTCGATAACGCGATGGACTTTGAAGCGAACAGCACTAGCTTCGAATCCCAGAGTGAACATCAACTCCGAGATGCAGGTACATCCGGTTGACCAGTCCAAAATAGGACGAAACTCGCGTCCTAGATTCCACTGCTAATCACCATTCATCTTTGCTTATAATCTTATTCAATGTTATACTCAATAATAATAAATAAGGAGTAACTTGTCATAATCAAAATGAGACCGTAAAAAGATTTAGACGATCATTGTACCATACTGCGAGCTAACTGAATGTGGAAATGTATACCAGTAGACTATAACATAATGGTTTTAACCAAGTTTTTTTCTCTAATGCATTATTGAAGAATCTTCCACTAAAATGAAACTGTTTACATAAATACAAAAAAATGATTGAAAAAATATTTTTAAAAAATACATCTCAATGATAAGTAGCAGTAGTAGTAGTAGTTTAACATACTTTTATTTTGCCTAAAGGACCATCTTCACAATATTTTTGAATAGTTGTTTTATTCCAATAATATGAATTGTCCATAAGTGAATGATTAGAAAAAATTAATAGAACAGGTGAAAAATTATCATTTGAATTGATTACTTCAACTTTGTCCAATGTTAATTCAATTAAAATACTTAAAGCATTTTCAATACAATAATACATTTGTTTATGTGGTTGTTCCGTTGTTTTGTACACTTTAAACTGATAAGATATAAAGAGAGAGAAAGAGAGAGAATAAAAAACACAAAGAATATGTATATTTAGTGAATGTTATTGAATTTTTTTCCAAATATTTTGATGGAGTTTCGTTGTGTGAACTGGATGGTTTAGTCGTGGAGCTTTCATCGTTATTCCGTACGACATCATCAGCACCAATATAAACTAATTTTAGTTAAATCAAGCAATTAGTTAGTCAATGTAGAACCTGATAAATTTATGCACGACAACAATAAAAGTTGAGAAGAAAAAAATGAATTCACAAAGTACTGTATAAGATAATTTTAGGGATGATAAAGAATAAATACATCTGCGACATTGTGACAGATTTTAAGATAGGCTACCCGACGCCTTCAACCAGTCCTTACAGTAATCGTAATAACCACAATATAGTAATTTGCATGTCTTTAAGACTTAGCCTAACAGTCAGTGATTTTGTGAATGGATGTCTCGTTCTGATTTGGCTGCACTTAGATTTGATACAATCCACTCCCAAACGATTAAAAGTTGTGCGTCTAGGTAAGCGGTAGTTGGATATGCATTATATATGTCTCAACCAACCCAGTCACTGAAAATTTACTAACAAACCAACTGATTCGCTAAATTTACCTAGTACCCTGCATCTAATCTCAGTAATGAATACTCAGTGGTTCCAGCATAAACTACCAATGCTTCTAAGGTATCAAATACTATTAATCTAAGAATATCCCCTGTTTTTAAAGACCATATTTCACAATCGTAAAGCAGGACAGAATGAACTGTGCAGTACATTCGTTCTATGGTTAGGAGATGGATATCTCAAACATAATAATGTTGACACAAGTTGGCAAAAACCAACTGTACATCTTTAATCAGTGATGAGTTTTCGTTAGATAAGAACCCATCAGTACTAATGAGACTTGCAATATAAGGGAAAAAGTTGGCATGCTATGCTACTTCATGTCATTAGTAGAACATCGATATAAAAAAAGTAACGTGTGGATTAAACACATATATTCTAGATATATATCCAATTCCATATCAAAGTAATTATTAAAATTAGTACACAAAATCCAGCAGCCAAGTTATAAATAACCAAGTACACACAAGATGATGACTAGTGTTGGGGACGGTTGGAAGAAAGTTAGAGGAGATCAAACCAAAACGTGGAATCAGCCCTTGAAATCACTTTCTTCTAGTCTGAGCCATGTTGGTAGATTCAGGCTACTTGGTTGGAATCGGCACGATTATCGTAACCAATGGTTGGAGACTCTGCGTGACATGGCTCAGAATCGATCACAATGGCGTAGGTGTATACACTCTTTGTTTGTCCTTAAACCGTGAGATTAAAATCGCTTTATGACTTTATTTCTACGGACCAATTCCTTCTTCCTGTATTATATCCATATACACAATCCTTCTTTTATATATTACTACCATTGAAGTAACTACTTCTATGAATTTGGTGTTCATCTTGTTGTGCTAATGAGGTGTGGCACCTTGGACCGATGCCCAAACCGAAACTGGTGGGGTTTTTTTTAGGGGGCCACACCCTGAACCTTTGACATAAAAGTCTAATCCACAAAGCAGTGGAGCAACGTAAAGATATGAAGTCCCATGGTAGCCGGTGACCAACAACAGGTTGATACGCCATTTGTTCCTTTAGGATCCTGGAGCCCATGTGAACCATTGGTTTGAAACAAAGATTTTCCAACTCCCCCAGGGGGATCCTCTGTATCCACCAACCCAGCCACAATATTTATGGACTTGAAACTGTTGAGCCTAATGAAGTTATTGGAAGCAATTTTTCGCTCGAATATTCTTTAATTTTGAATATTCCGTGAGGATTTTGAATTTTCATTTTGACGAGAAACAATGCACACAAATAAATGTCTACTAAAGTTATGAAAAAATTGAAATTTAAGAATTGGTAGACAAACCATTTATAGATATACATCATCCTTAATCTTTTACTGAACACCTATATCCATATACAATCCCAATGAATAATGTAAACAGACAAATGTGATAATATTCTAGTGGGAAGAATTGGCATTGGTTAGGAAATGGTAACTTTAAGGATACATGACTGTCACTACAATTGAATAAACCATCAAGCATTGAAGAAGAGAAGAAAAGAAAAAAAAACATCGATAACCAGACTATTAAGTAGGAATATCAACTCTTCTGTTACTGATATTCATGACTACATTTTGATCAGATTTTTCTTAGTGTACATAAGCAATCTGTGGAGAACAACTCAAGCCTTTTTACTAACAATAATATAAGCATCATTCCCGTTGAATAAGTCAGTAGTTTGCATCCAGTAGCTCAGTGATTAATGGATTAAACTTTTGAATCAAAAGTTATCGAGTTTGAGTTTTAAAGTGAGTATCGACATTCGAATCTAGGTATATCTACTCCTTGATCAAGACTCCTGACCATTGCTGCTACCTTGACGTGGTGGTCGGGCTTGCCTATCGTGATGATTCAATAGAGCTATACTGGCTGGAACAGTCGTTCCTCAAGGTCCTACCATGCCAGACAGGTCGTTCGAAGAGCGGTGAGACTAAAAGCAGCAAACCCAAAGTCCGAAGTCGTACTGCTGACTGCACAGAGGTGTGACAGCAGTAAGGTGTTTCCTTCAGACAACCAGCATGACAGCGATGCTGCCTTCCCACAAGGAGGGGTGGGGTTAGAAAAGGTCGACCCTAAAAATGCACACCTCGCCTCATCCCACGGATATCCGTCTCCGGAGGTAAGGTCCTTTGAAGAACGGAGCTAACTACCCAGGTCGAGTGTGGCCGACCTCAAGCAGTTGTCCCTTGGGCACTACGGTCACGTTCTCAGGTCATTAAGACCACTTCTAACCCAATTTCCTTTTCAGGTACCCCTAGAAGAACCCTTCCACGGTGTGGGCAACCGGGAAATGATAACTGCCCTCATGCCTCTAACAGCACTCAAGATCACTGTATTCATAATCAATCTCCTAATTCAATTCCTACTATTCCTTCTACCCTGACTTTCAACACTAAACTTCCTCTTCCGGTTTCCTCCTCAAGTGTCACCATGGCCAACGATTCTAGTGCGCGAAACGCTGTCCCAGGTCTACTAAAACCTCGCTCCAAACTACACATTGGAGCCTTCAACGTACGTACTTTAAGTCAAATCGGTCAACAGGCCCCCTTAGCTAAAACCCTAGAATCTCGTACCATTGATGTATGCTGTGTCTCCGAAACACGCATACAGGATCCCAGTGTGGTCATTCACTTGACCTCACCTCGCCAAAATGGACAGCCAACGAAATACACCCTCCGTGTATCTGGCGACCCGATGGCTAGTTCTCGTGGACTTGCAGGTGTAGGCATAGCACTAAGTACAAGGGCAAAACAGGCACTATTAGAATGGATCCCCGTTAACAGTCCCCTGTGTGCTGTCCGGCTAAATGTCTCCGTAAGAACTCGGAAGGATAGGGACACGCGTCGTTGCCTTTTCGTCGTTTCTGCCTACGCTCCCACTGATTGCAGCCATGATGAAATAAAAGATGACTTTTACAGAAAACTCTCTGAGCTGCTTCAGAAAGCTAAGCGCTCAGACATAGTACTCGTTTCGGGTGACTTTAATGCCCAGGTAGGCAGCTTACATCAAACAGAGAGACATTTAGGTGGGTGTTTTAGTATTCCGGCTCAACTAACCGATAATGGTGATCGTCTGTTGCAACTATGCTCAGACAATCGTTTATTTTTAGCAAGCACTAATTTTAAACATCAGGAGAGACATCGTCTAACATGGCGACCACCTGCACCAAACCAACGATAGACTCAAATAGACCATATTGTCATCAGTCATCGTTGGAGAGGCTCAATAGAAGATTGTCGCTCGTATTGGAATACTTGTTTAGACTCTGATCACGCTTTAATACGAGCGTGCATTTGTCTGCGCCTCAATGGACGCAGGAAAAGTACACTAAGAAGACCCATTAGGATTGAACTGGATGACGAGAAAGCCAAATGCGAATTCCAGAAACAACTGAGTTCACATCTAGGCAGTTCTGTAAACGAGGCTGACCCAGATGCTGCTTGGAAAGACACACGAACAGCTGTGGAAACATCAGTATCATCTATTAGTTATTTAAACCATAGGGCTCCAAAAAACCAATGGATTTCTTCTAAGTCTATTTCACTGATGGATTCGCGTAAACTCATCCCATAAGGCTCTGAACACGACGAAGAGCGTAAACAAATTAGATCTAGGTTAACTAAAAGTCTAAGGAACGATCGTGAGCAGTGGTGGGCAACGAAAGCAAAAGAGATGAAAAAGGCAGCGGCTGTAGGCAACACCAGGCAACTATTCAGACTAATAAAAGAAACCGGAATTAAGAAGTCAAGTGTAAGTGAGACGATCTCAGAAAAAGATGGAACCCTTATCTGCTCTCAACCCAAACGTTTAGAACGATGGGCGGAACACTATAAGGAGCAGTTTAGCTGGCCTTCAGCTACTGCACAACTACCCACTATTCCCAGAAAACCTGAATGGAACATTGAAGTAGGTCCCCCGACCCTACTTGAAGTTCAAAAGGCCATAAGTAATCTGAAACGAGGAAGAGCAGCTGGTCCAGATGGATTGGCTCCAGAGGTCTTTAAATATGGTGGTCCAATTTTAGCGATTAGGTTGACTAATATTCTGGCTAAAATCTGGGAGACGGACGTAATCCCATCTGACTGGTCACAATCTCTGATTGTCCCAATATATAAGAAGGGGCCAAAATCATCCTGTGATAACCATAGAGGGATTAGTCTGACTAACATAGTATCTAAAATACTAGCCTCAATAATTATCGGGCGCCTAACTAAGACTCGTGAACTGCAAACGCGAGAAAATCAGGCTGGCTTCAGACTTGATCGTGGCTGTATCGACCACGTATTCACCATTCGTCAAGTTTTAGAGCACAGACATGCTTATCGGCGTCCGACAATGATAGTTTTTCTTAACTTGAAGGCAGCATTTGACTCTGTAGACCGAGAGATTCTGTGGCAGTGTCTGTCAGTGAAAGGTGTACCTCAGAAGTACATAAACCTTGTGAAGGCTCTTTACTCGAACACTACCAGTCGAGTGAGAGCTTATGGCGAACTGTCATATGATTTTACAACCTCAAGTGGTGTCCGTCAAGGCTGTCCACTATCCCCACTTTTGTTTAACTTCATTATAGAACTGTTTCTGGAAATAACTCTCGTCGACTGAATTTTCAGGAATTGATCTTCTACCAGGAGGTTCACTTATCGGCTTAGAATACGCAGATGACATAGTCCTGTTTGGTGAAGACACTGACAAAATGCAGAGTCTTCTGTTGGAACTGAGTAATAATGCCAGGATGTTTGGGATGCGTTTCTCCCCATCCAAATGTAAATTGTTACTCCAGGACTGGCCTGCATCAACACCTGAACTAAGGATAGGGAGTGAAGTAGTCGAACGCGTCGACAACTTCACTTATCTTGGAAGTCTGATTAGCCCTAATGGGTTGGTGTCTGACGAAATCTCAGCACGGATTCAAAAAGCTCGTTTGGATTTTGCCAACTTACGTCACCTATGGCGAAGACGAGATATCCGTCTATCAATTAAGGGACGAGTATACTGCGCAGCAGTTCGTTCTGTTCTACTTTACGACTGTGAAACATGGCCATTAAGCGTAGAAGATACTCGTAGGTTACTAGTATTTGACCACAGATGCCTTAGAAATATTGCTCGCATCTACTAGGATCACCGGGTAAGCAATAGTGAGGTTAGACGCAGGGTATTAGGGAACGATGGTAAATCAGTTGATGAGGTGATGAATCTTCATCGACTGAGATGGTTGTGCCACGTGTTATGTATGCCTGAACATCGATTACCACGACGCGCAACGTTGACTAGTGTAGGGGATGGTTGGAAGAGAGTTAGGGGCGGCCAAACCAAAACATGGCATCAATGCTTGAAGTCACTAACTTCGAGTTTGAGCCATGTTGGTAGATGCAGACTACCTGGTTGGGGTCCGCGTGACTATCGTAACCAATGGTTGGAGACTCTGTGTGACATGGCTCAGAATCGATCACAATGGCGTAGGTGTATACACTCTTTATCTTCCCTTAAACCTTGAGATTAAAATTGCTTCATAACTTTTTTTCCTTCTTATACTATATCCTTCTATACAACCTTTCTCTATATACTACCACAACTAAATTAATTACTTCTATGAATCCGGTGTTCATCTTGTTGTGCTAACGAGGTATGGCAACTTGGACCGATGCATATATGTGCCTGGTCCTACGTTGTCGCTGACTGACATATCTAACTGGCAAATCGCGAATAAGAAAAATGGAGCGTCATGGATTCCAATGTTAGCCACAATTTACTTATCTGAAATAACTAGTGATCTAATGGTTATATAGTTTTCCAGCCAAACTTACGTCCATGGGTTGAAACAATTATGTTCAGGGTACTTCTTGGTTTCCATAATACCCAGGTTGGTTAATTCCTGATATATGACGTCTTTAGGAATATTTTAAATTTAGAAAATTTACATATTACATTTTCTAGAGAAGGCACTGTAATGTTTCTGGATGCATAGGGGGAAAGATAAAACTCAGACAAGATGGATGTTTTTGTGTGAAATAGAACGAAAATAAAAAAGCAAGAACATGAAATGAGCTACTGTGACTTTGGTCTGCCCATTGGTTTTGTTCTTAGAGCTGTGGAGAAATTGGCCTCAGGACTAATAAACGCTCTTAAGGAAGCTAGACTACTTAACGTGACCTTGAAATTGAATGAGTGAATTCGATTGTGATGAATTTAGCTTTGCAGGCAGAAACTATCCTATCGGACCACAAATTATCTACCACACGGATGCTGATTAGTCAGCAGAAGAGATGGCTGTAGTTAGAAAAATCGTATCTCCAAATTAGGCAGAAATCCGATGTTACCTTCAAAAAATGCATGACTAAATACATAGGCATATAAACTAGAAAACATAATGAAACAAAGTATGTGTACTAAAAGCAAAGGTTATAGAGGAAGAATCAGAATACCAAGCTTACGATCAACTTACAATGGGTTGAAAGTAGAACAAGATATGGCAACAGTTTATCAATCAGATGAAAATTCGACGTAAGGTAAATAAAGGAAACATAACCCAAATGTTCATAATTACGCATAAACAAACAAGGGTAGTGTCTCGAAAAATAGGTTATCAAGTTTGTCAGTCTTTTGTTTTCCTTTTTATAAAATGATCATAATGAAAACACAAGAATCCAGTATATTTCGCCTCAAACAGTTGACGTGTTATCGACTGAGATTATCAGTTCAGATAGCCACTAACTTGCATAACAGATCTAGATGATAACTGTAATAGTTTTGCCACTGTTATTGTTAATGATTGAAACGGATTAATCTTTATTGACCTATATGCATCCTAAGCTGATGGCTTGAATATTTTGATCACGTCACAAGGTTTATTAGGATTAGATCTAAAAAAATCGTAATGGAATCCAGGATGCACTTTTAGTCCTCTATTTGAGTCATCAGATAAATCTACCTGGAACACTTTCACTTTTTATCAATCTGGATTTAAAAAAGCATATTACTAGATACTTATATGAAAGCAAAATAAATGACAAACTACTTCTAAGGCTTTGTATTTTCTCTCCTCGTTAACAATGTACAAGACTACAATTGACCTCTATCAAATTTCAATAAAAATGACTACATAACAACGCCTATTAAATCCTCTCAGCTGATGAACATATTTTAGTAAAGGTTAATTAACTGCAGTCCTCACCACTAACAATGCAAAAATAGAAACCTTTACAAATAAAATTTATCCTAGTTACATAAACCAGAGGTTACTTGAACACAATAGCTGAACAGATAATGTGTTGGTCGTTTTAGTTGGAATGTCAGTGTAAATATCAACACTGAGATGCTGACGTACCATAAGTAACATGAAACATATATCGAGGATTCCGCCAGTAGCTGTTACTCAACAAACTGTAGATAAATGATTAAGATAGGAAATAACACCTAGAAAACAAATTATATCTTGACAAAATATTGAATTATTTAAAAAAAATTAATTACTAAAAGTCAACATACACTTAGTTTGATAACACCGTCTATTTTCTCATGAGAATCTAACGATTGTCTAGCTTCATACTCGATAGTTATTTGATTATCCTTTGAATCATTCCTAAATGATGCGACTGTCCAATTTAAATTACTTCCTAAAAATGTCTGTGTTTGCTTTCCTGTGTCAGGAGCAATTGTTTCACCATTTATATCACGATATCGAATTATCTAATTTGAATAATAAAACATGAATTTTAAAAATAAATCTAACCCTATGTAATATTAATCCGTAAGATTGGATAGCATTATTAATGAAAACTGAATTCCTGTAATCTAACGCATCATTACTGTCAAAACGGGAACAGTTCACAGAGACGATAGATTCTTCAGTAGTTTGTATTAATACTAGAGAAGGAGGATGATATTCACTGGCAGATATTAAAAACCATAATGTGTGTGTTTTATTCTTAACTGATATTTGATATAAATTTGTATTGTTGCAAAGTGCTACATACGAAGTTATCTGAAATTATTTATTAGTAAAATTAGTATTATCAAACTTACGTCAAATGTAGACACAAAAATATTTTGAATAATCAAAGTACAGGAATATAGTACTACAACCCAAATGTTTACTGAATACATCTAGAAAACAATTGAGAAAAGGAAAATTTAGCTAACAACGATATTAAGGAAATATGAGGGCAAAGACCAAGAATATTTTCCATATATATGGAAAATCTGAATGTTAGATTGACAGTTGACACTAAATTGGTCTCATATTTTCATCTGAATTATGGAGTCTCATCAATCCTAGTTAAGTTGACATCTAAAGAAATCGCAGCGCAAGTTCAGAAAGATTAGTTGTCTATTGGCAAATTCCATCACTTGTGATATTATGTATTTAAACACAAACATTGGGACAAAGAGGCGCCAAATATATATGCGCCACACTTCGTCATTTGATTTGTGTGAGGGCCGCCATACTGTTCGGGCGCCCAAACAGAAACAGGTGGTTTCCTTAGAGGGCCACACCCCGAGCCTCTGACCTATTGACCTAATCTATGAGGCAATGGATCAACATCAGTAGATGCGGTTCCATGGTGGCCGGTGATCAACATTAGGTTCACACACCATTTGTTCCTTCAGGATCCTGAAGTCCAGTGGGTGCATACTCATCGCCATGTGAGAGCATTTCGAGATGGAGAGTGGACTCTCCCCACCCTCGGTCGTATCAGGGTTTGGGGAGCCTCAGATTTAGATCTACTTAATAGAACTTACAGGCTTTGTGAAGAGGTACGTTAGGCAGATTTGAAACCCATGGACTAATGTTCGAAAGTCAGATATATGAATAATATAGCTACATTTTTCATCACTCGTTGAAGATAGCCAATATACAATTGATTCGAAGGTTCATTCCACTGGGAAATGCTTTTCCAACTACATCAACACACATGCACGCAAATCTATAACTCGATTTTCTGAGAATGGACATACTTTCGATAGTGATTAACCATATGTTATTAAATTAGGTCCCTATTCTTTTATTTTACATCGGTTGATCACAAAGTTAATAAGCCACTAACTACTTACAACAAACCCCCAGACTGTTGATTAAACGGCTGCCTATCTACTGACGAAAGCTTTTCAGCTATATTTAGCAGCTCAATAACATCAAGCATCAGAAGAAACTTTGTAGAGCACCTTGCAAAGCATACTTTGCATGGTCATCGTGATAGGGGCTCGTAGCAACGCTTATATGCAGCCAGTGAGTTTATTGTACACAGTGTGATCCCACTTGTTGCGTTTATCACATTACATTTCATGGTGAAACGGAAAGAAGCATGTGGGTTAACCGTATATGGTTATAACCGTCGCTATAACGATGTCTTATTCACGCAATTTAAACTGATCGGAAAGCATATAGAAAGAGAAAATGCATAAAAAATTTCCTTAAGCACAGGGAAAAGAAAATCATTTTGGGGATAAACCAACCTCCCGATTTTAAAGAACCTACTTCCCTACGGCAAAGTAAATAAATAAGTCACTGCGTTTTCAAATCTGCCCGCCGTTTCCTTTTTGCGACCTTGAACGGCCTGACACGAGGCGGTCATTCCGTATTTGATTTGTTGAGGGTCGGTTGGTTGTCATCTGGGTTGCACGAATATCAGGTTTTCTTATATTTGCGTCGTTTTTGGCTGTAGTAAATTCACAAAATCAATGCTTAAAGTGTTTATCGAGCTTACTCTGTTTTGTAGTGTACAATTTGACACTTTTGTTGCTACGTAACTTAACCTGGGATACCAAATACCCTACTGAACCTCACTCTCCTTGTTTAAAATTTGTACGGTTCCACGAAACTGCGTATTCAGCATAAATTATCAGTACAAGATACTCTGACTTTGTGTGGATCGTTGTTTTCTGCAAGAATTAAGACGACATGACGATTAACCCGTAATTCCTAAATGTTTGTCGTCCTTACTTCAGTTACTGAAGTATTATCGCATGAAACAGCTGTTTTTTAGTAATTAACGAGTAATAATTGCAGTGATTTATGTTCCACAAACATTTCGGTCGACTTAAGTGAGGCGTTTCAGCGCATAATACTGAGCAGGCGTTTTGGAAACTAGATTGAATTCGATGTGTTGAGGATACCACGGATATTCTAGTTTGGCTACTAGCAACCAGTAGCACCTTCTATAATCGTTCTTTCCCCAGTCGAATAGAAACCAGAAGTCAGACGAGGAGAGGTAGGAAAGATATATTTGATACGTTACCAATATATTGAGGAACCTTTACTATAAGCTGGCTAATAAACGTAGGAGCTGTGTCCCACGCCGAGTTGAAACGTGATCTGGTACGGATGTATGACCGAAAGCCTTCAGTTGAACAAGTCCACTTAAACAACGTGGTCAGCATCCAATGACGAACACTTAATGAGCTATTGATTTGGGGGAATTATTTACAGCTACAGATCACCCCCCTAGTGGGGTAGTGATGCCCCTAAGACGTGACCAGCAAGAAGTTTAAACCCAACTAGTTTGTCGTTGGTTTTTTTTTATATATAAAATATATATATATATACGCTCAAAAAAAAATGTATTGTTTTTTTTTGTTTTTTATATAAATAAACAAAATGAGCATATCAAAAAATTTTTATAATAAACTATGAAAGGGTTATTCAAGATAAAGCTTATGTCCTACGTGCAATATTCTATAAGATGTTCTGGAAATCTCACTCGTCTTCCAGAACGCGTTGTTTTAGTTTTATCTATCGATGTTGACGAAGTATCAAGTTGTGTGTTGGTTGTCGTGTAGGGTACTACGAGTGTAGTAGCCGCGTCGTACGATTGTACCGAAGGAAAATCGACGTAGCTAGGGTTTCCTTCTAAGTACGCTGCTTTGAGTCGATTGATACTGATGCTATCGTTCGTACCGTCCTTATCGACTACATAGTACTTAGGTTCGCGTTGAAGAACTTTGAAGGGTCCTTCGTATGCTGATTCGAGGGGTCGTCGATGTGAGTCTCGACGAACGAAGACGTGTGTAATATGTCGTAATTCGGGTTGAACGAAAACATCAGGTGATTGAGGTCGAATGTGAGCAGGTTTGACTGAACGCATAGCGTTTGTAAGCCTACTCGTGTAAGAGTTTAGATCCATGTTCAATGAAGAAGCTGAAGGATTTACGAATTCTCTTGGGAGTCGGAGTGTCGTTCCGTAAACGAGTTGAGATGCCGTGCATCCAATGTCAGCTTTCACTGCATTGCGGATACCCAGCAAGACGAGTGGAAGAGCGCCTGTCCACTGTGAAACGTTTGAAGCTGATAATGAAGCTTTTAATTGTCGATGAAAACGTTCTACCAACCCGTTTGCTCGTGGGTGGCAGGCGGTCGTTCGGAAGCGCGTGATTCCTAAAAGTGAGGCGAGACAACGGAAAAGTCCAGATTGGAATTGGCGTCCGCGGTCTGTAGTGATTGTGGAAGGGCAGCCGAAATTTGCTACCCATCGTTCGACGAAAGCGCGGGCCACGGTTTCAGCAGTAATGTCCTTAATCGGTACTGCTTCTGGCCATCGAGTGAAACGGTCTACGCATGTTAAGAGATATGAGTATCCGTTCGAGTCGGGTAAGGGTCCTACCAAATCTAGATGGACGTGGTCGAAACGAGCGTCAGGAGTTTTGAAAGAACCTAAGGGACATTTATTGTGTCTTATGACCTTAGATTTCTGACAGCTTACACAGGAGCGTACCCACTCCCTCACGTCTTTATTCATGCCAGGTCAACAAAAACGTTCGGCTATAAGTTTGACTGTTGTACAAGCACCTGGATGGGAAAGATTGTGCAACGTATTGAAGACGTTGCGTCGATAATGTTTTGGTACAATTGGACGCTCCCTACCTGTAGATGTGTCACAGAGTAAGGTTTCTTTACCTGTTCCCATCTGCTTAATACTTAGTTTTAGAGTTGTCGAGGATAACTCATGCCGAAGATCAATGTCTTCTTTTTGAAGCTGAGCGAGTTTAAGAAGGTCGATTCCTTGGAAACTGTTCAAGGAACTTATTCGAGACAAGACGTCTGCGACTACATTGTTAGCTCCAGAAATGTGTTGTATGTCTGAAGTAAATTGCGAAATGTAGTCGAGTTGTCGAGACTCTCGCGGTGAGTACTTATCTGAAGATGAAGCTAAAGAGAAGGTAAGAGGTTTGTGATCGGTAAAAAGCGTGAATTCCCTTCCTTCGATGGAATGTTGAAAATGCCGTACAGCACAATACATAGCTAGGAGTTCCCTACCGAACGTGCTGTACCTAGATTCCGCGTCTAGCAACCGTCTTGAGAAAAATCCTAAAAGTTGCCACGAGTTGTTAACCCATTGTTGTAAGACTGCTCCGATTGCTGAGTCGGATGCGTCTACTGCGATACTAATGGGCGCTTGAGTGTCCTGATGAGCAAGCAAGGTTGCTTTAGCGATATGTTCCTTAACTGTGAAGAATGCTTTACGGGCTATGTCGTCTAAACTAATTGATTTTGCATTTCCACGAAGCTGATCGGTTAACGGTTTCATAAGGGATGCGCATTTGGGCATGAACCGTCTGTAGAAACTTACAAGTTCGTTAAAAGTTAGTAAGTGCTTGATCGTAGTCGGTTCTGGGTAATCCAGAATGGCCGCCACTTTGCTCCTAAGGGGTTGGATGCCTTGAGCATCAATGGTGTGTCCTAGGAAGTCTAAGGAGTTTCTTCCGATTTGGCATTTCTGTATGTTGACAGTAATGCCATGCCGTTGGAGTCGATCGAAAACAATGTCCAGATGCTTGAGAAGCGATTCTCTGTCCGGATTTGCTATTAGACAGTCATCAACATACGCATGTACGAAGTTGAGACCTCGAAAGACGTCGTCTATAAACCTTTGGAAGGTTTGAGCCGCGTTTCTTAAACCAAAAGGCATTCGTAGAAATTCGTAAAGACCGAAGGGAGTGATGATGGCGGTTTTAGGAATGTCGTCAGGTGCCATCGGTATTTGGTTATAAGCTTTAACCAAGTCGATTTTCGAAAAGACAGTTGTACCTTTCAAGGTAGCTGTCAAATCGTGAATATGTGGCAGCGGGTAACGATCGGGAATGGTTTTAGCATTCGGACGCTGATAATCACCAGTTGGCCGCCAATCATTGCTGTCCTTTTTAGGGACCATGTGCAATGGGGATGACCATGGACTGTTCGATGGTCGAATTATCCCTAGGTCCATCATATGGTCGAATTCGTTTTTGGCTAACCTAAGTTTTTCGGGAGAAAGTCGATGGGGTTTTAAGAATACAGGTGGTCCTGTAGTCGAGATGTGATGTGTAACATTGCTGGTTACACAAGGCAATTTCGATTGCGATTGGTATATCCCGGGGTATTTGTCGAGTACTGATTGGTACAAGGGGTCTATGGTGTGCTTAATCGTGACTGGGGATAACCTGCAGCCAGAACAAGGAGTTACGCTAATAGATAACTTAGTGTTTCCGTCTATTAACTTTCGTGAGCGTATGTCGATGAGTAGATTGTGGTGTTGTAACAGGTCTATACCAATGATTGGCATAGAGACATCTGCAACCACGAAAATCCAGCGTACGGGTTTGCGTAAACCCACTTTAAGGCAGACGTACCTTTTACCGTAAGTAGCGATCGGCTTTCCGTTTGCCGCCTGTAAACTTAAAACAGACTGGCGAAGACTGTCGTCGGGATTTGCTGGAAGAACGCTAACTTCTGCGAAAGTGTCGACGAGGTAGCGAGCTTTCGTAGTCACATCCGTGACATATAAGAGGCGGCTGTGTTCGCCGGCTACGGTTGCCGTTAACGCGTGCCGGCTGGGAAGTTTCCCGAAATCTTATTCGTGTCAGTCGATTTTGAGGTCGGATAATTGCAGGGTTTCCTGCAATTTGTGGAAAAAAAACCGTACTGGTTGTAATATCAGCACCAGTCGGGATTGTCTGTCTATCGGAGTCGAGAGCCAGATCGCTTTCGTGAAACGCTTCTACGTGAGGATTTTGACCGACTACGGTCATTGCGAACTCTAAGATATCGTGTAAGCGTGTGACATAGTTCGGTTATGTCAGACGGGTCGATTGAGGTTTTTCTTTGATGGAAAAAACCTCGGCCTTAGAAAATTTAGTGATTTCCAAGATTCGATCGGCAGATACAGCTAGTTCATCTATGGCATTGTTTTGAAATGAAACAAGCACTGCCTGCACCTGTTGAGGGAGTTTAGACAAGAAAAGTTGTCTAAATAGGCCATCATCGAATGTTCGTTGGCCGATGACTTCTCTCATTCTAAGCAACATGTCCGTCGCAGAACCATGTTGCAAGTCAATATTGTTAAGGAGTTGGTCTAACCGTTGTCGGTCAGTTAGGTCTCCGCGTTTTAAAATCGATAGTTTAAGCGTTTCGTAAGGTTCGGGAACATCACTAGTAAGCATACTAGGTGTTACGTAGTTGTTAAACTCGCTCGGTAACGCCTTAACTACCGCTAGGAAACGTGTGCGCAAAAATCGGCTTCTGCATAGCAGAACCAGGACTCGATATTGTCGGGCCAAAATGGCGTTAACTGAATTGAAATAGGGGGAATAGACTTAAAC